CCTTTTTTTTTTCTTCTTTTTTTTTCTAAGAAATGGGGTTGACTAGAGTTCCAAGGATGCCGGGTAGTGATTGCCTCACGGGTTCACAGTTCCTCCTGGACACCAGTATCTGTGTTTGCCCTTGTTTACCAGGTCTGGCTCTGTGGTGACTAACTTGGCAAACAGGCGTTCGGGGGCCGTGGCACATCCTCCGTGTGGCACCAGTGACGTGCCACCATGCAGGCACTGCTCAAACCCTGCTGCCAGCCCGACTGGGCACCCTGGGCAGCAGAGAAATGATGAGACCCTTGTCAGGACCTGCCTCTGTCTTGTGCCCACCCTTTGCCCCACATTAAGCTGTTTTTATTCTAGTGCCAATATTTGGGTCTCTGGTTTCTTTATTTACCAACAGTTGTAATAGTGCAACGTTTTGCAAAAAAACCCCTATGTTTTGCAATGTTTTGCAAAAAAAAACTGTGGGTTTTTTCCCTAAAATCCTTGGCCTGACACCAAGGATTTTAGGGGGGAAAAAAACCCCTTCCCAAAGATCCCTCTGAGCATCCTTTATCTGATAATGAAGGCTTTACCCTCTCCCAGCCCTGTGCCATCCTCTTAGCAGTGGTGGTTTCTCAATGTGTTCCCCAATCCCTCTCCATATTCGGCATAATTTAGCAGCTCCTCTCTCCTCCCCCTTGCTGTAATTAGCACTTTTTGGCTTGAGTCATGGCCTCTAATCATATCTGGCCTGCAGCAGCTCTGCAGAGGTGAGCCCTTCCCCAGGAGCAGATAAGCCTCTGCTTGTGCCAGGCTGCGTGTTCCGAGGGACACGGTGCTCCAGGCACAGCCTCAGCTCTGGGGCAAGTGGCAGCACACAAAGAAGGTGAAGGCAATTGTTTTCTGTGCTCTCACATCCCTCCCAATGGGAAATCACAAGGCAAATGTGGTTGTTATTAATAAATTGCCTAGAGACCTGTGGCTGAGGTGTGCAGGAGTGGAGCCCAGCCAGGTGAGGAGGAATTGTCCCCCCAGCAGAGCCCTGGGATGGTCCCTGATCACAGTGCAGGGACATTTGGGTCACAGGTGTGACCAGGGACATTTGGGCCACAGGTGTGACAGCACTGGGGCCTTGCTGCCTTTCCAAGGTGCTGCAAGTGGTTCTGCAGCAGGGCAGAGTTTGGGATGCAGCACTCGGAGCCCCTGGGTGCTCCCAGGAATGCAGCAGCTCCAAAGCTCTGCTCCAGCAGCACAAGAGAGGCAGGAGCTGGGGGAGCTGCTCTGAGATAAACTCAGCAGTGAGTGGAGAAATGTGGGGATGGAAATGAGCAATCCTGGCACAAACCAGGAACACGGGGAGAGGAATAGCAGCCAGGGCTCCAGTGGGACCTTCATGATGTAACAGCAGCCTGGGGACCCTGAGATGAGGCTGCAAACTCCCAGACACTTTAGGGAGGTTGATCATGAATGAGTTTATGGCTTATGAGGGGTTTGTAAGGGAGCCAGGACCCAGATAATGGGGGATTTTAATTACTTGGCTATTGATGGATATAATAAGTGTGCAGCAAACCACAAAGGGAAACCTATGGCTGGAGGGGAGAGTGAGATTGATCTATGCACAGCATGCTAAATCACTTAAATCATTCAGAGCCTCTTCTGGCCCCAGCTCCAGGAGCAGAGCCAAGTATGATAAATAAGGCTGGAATTGGGAAGTGTCTAGAATCCAAATGTTTGTATTCCTGTTCGATTTCAAATATTCACAGGACAAAAGCAGCAAGGCACTTGGCTGAGGCTGCCTGGGGGCTGTGGGAATTCCTCTGGAGGGGGCTGGCAGCCCAGCATCAGGAGAGGTGAGAGGGAACTTTTGCACAGATTTGTCTCATGGTGATCTGGGTGAGACCAGGGCACGGCAAGGAGGGACCCGGAGGCCGAAGCGATTGAGGGTGATGGAAAGTCTGAGCCAGCAGTGTGGGTGGGATGACATGGCTGGGCATGGCCCAGGGAGCACAGGGAGCCTGCAGGCAGGGCTGGGCACCTCCTGTGGGCTGGTGCCAGGGCTGGTGAGGCTCTCTGAGGTTTGGTGCATGAAGGTGTGCCCAGGTGAGGTCTCCTCCTGCCACCTTGGCTTCCTTCTCCATCACACAGGCCTGACCGTCAGATATCACGTGGAAAATCTCTGCTTAACAAAAGCAAGGAGTCAGGAGTCAGGTGGACACTCCAATATGTGGCTGGAGGAGCTGTTGGGCAGCTCTGAGTGGCAGCCCTGCAATGAAACATGTGCCTCAGTGCTGCAGGGACAGGGCCTGGCTCCAGAGATAAGGGAGATTTCTGTGTGGGTGGCACTGATCTGGGGCTGGAGCTGCTGCTCTGGATGTGGACAAGGGCTGGGACATCTCTCCTATTTTTCCATCCACTCCCTGGCAGGCGTCAGTCCCAGCTGACCCAGCAGATACTGCTGGGCTCAGGGAGCTGGTGCAAAACCCCATTCTCAGTCGTGTGGGTCCTGGGCAGCCTGCACATCCCAGCCTCACTGCAGAGATGAACCTCTGGGAGCTGAGGGCTGGGGGCAGCACCTCTGAAAGAGGGAGGGGAGCAGCTCTTTTGCTCTTTTCCCTTGCTGAAATACCATTAATTCTATTACCGAGCTGCAGGAATGGGATTAACCCTGCCTGTTCCAGGGCTCAGGTTGTCCCAGCTGGGGTCTGACAGAGAGCAGCAGAGCCTGGACATTGCTGCTCAGGTGTGGCTGGACTCACCCCACACATTCTGGGCCGTGCAGTCCTGCCAAAACAAACCCTTCAGGACACAGGGGGGCTTCAGGCTGGCAGCCTGTGGCAGCACAGTTCCCACTGGTGGGATGCAGCACGGATGCCAAGCACATGGTTATCCTCAAACACATCGTTGCCATTTTTAGGCACAGGCATAAATTATTTAAATGCCACGTGCTTCCAGTCGGAATGCACCTGAGAGCTTAGATGTCTGGGTCTTGTGATCAATGTTAGACAGCAATGGTTTGAAGACAGAGAGGAATCAAAACTCTCTTGGAGCAGCTCTCCCAGCCTGCCAGGAGAGCACGCAGGAGAGGCCTGTGCCTTTCTGTGCCTCGCTGGGTAATTCCAGAGTGGCAGGGTCCTTACTGAGCTCCATTCCAAAGGAGCTGCAGCTGATTGTGAGCTGGCTGTGACAGAGCATTTGGTACCCACGGAGCCTGTGCTGTGGAGTTTGCTGGCCTGGCAGCACAGTCTCTGACTCTGACTCTCTCTCTGCAGTTTTTTGGCACCTTCCTTGTTCACCAGAAGAAGGGCAGTGTGCTCTCCAGAGCAGGGAAACCCCTTGGCTCCCCAGAGCCCCCTGACACAATCAGCCTCTCTGATTTTCCATCTCCCTTCCTCTCCTCTGAGGTGACACAAATCCATCCTCCTTGCTCCTGAGGACCTGCTCCTGGCCCCGCTGGCACAGGGCAGTATGTTTGGGAGTCTGCAGAATGAAGAAAAACCCGCTGCTGGGGGTCCTGTGGTCCTGCCTGGCCCTGGAATCACTGCTCCCAGCAGGGTTTGGGCATTTCCAGCAGGGTTTGGGCATTTCCAGCAGGGTTTGGGCATTTCCAGCATGTGCAGAGCCCCCCTCCCCTGCAGGGCCAGCCTGCCCCAGCTCCCTCCAGTCCTGGCTGTGCTTTTCATTTAGATGGAGTGATTTTTCCCCTGGTCCAAGTTTGCTGTATTCCTGAAATGGTCTGAAATGTAATAGGCCAAGACAATCATCGGGATGAAATATTTCCTACATGAAATATGCAGCAGCTATTCAGAAATGAAGATCAAGTGGAAGCAGCGCTGCCAGGCAGAGATTTAAAGGTGCTGACACGTTCCCGTGGGTTGTTTACTGAAATCATCTCCGAAGCCCCAGTTTTAGTGCTATATTCAAAAAAAGAGCACAAAATACAATTTAGCAAGAGTTTAATAATTCAAGCTACAGTGTGCTGAGCTTGTTTTGCCCTTGTGGGAACATAATCTCATTTCAAAGGACCTTGACTCTTTTCTGGTAGTGCAGAAGGGGCACTGCCAGGGCTATTTTTGCACCGAGACACTGATTGGGTGTGAATCCTGCCTCTGGTGGCGGTGCCAGCAAAACCTGAGGAGGCAAAACAGAGCCATATGGCCCGATTTCCCTAAAGATGCAAATTCCAAGGAATCCGGGCGTGCTGACTTGCTAGAAAAGGGCAACATAGGCACCTGGCATTATAAAAAAAGCTTTAGCACTGCTCTTGGCACAGGGCTCTGCCCACTCAGCCCAGCTCGGTGGTGCGAGGTGAGCCCATTCCCGCAGCCCTGGGACAGGCAGTGACACTCGGGGCTGCTCGGGGGTCTCACTTCACCTTCAGTGGTGTCAGAGGAGCCTCTCTATTGGGCTGACCTTGTTATTGTGCTGCCGGTACCTAGTGAGGATCAGGAGTTTGTCAGAAGTTCTTTTCCCATGCTGGCCCCTCGGGGAAGCCATGTGTCCCCATGTCCCCTAAAACAGCACTGTGTTATCACCGAGACTTAAAGAGAAGCCCGTGTGACCCCCAGGGCTGCAGCTGTGCCCTGTGACATCCTGAGCCCTTCATGAACCAGGAGGGGCGATGGAGTTGGCCATGGAGAGCAACCCCTGATCCCCTGTGCAGCCTCCTCCTGGACACCCCGCATTTGTCCCACGCTTGGCTCCCTTCTCTCATCCACACTCCTCTCGGGTGAGGCTTCAGCATCACTCCCGTGACGGGAGAGCTGGCGTTCATCGGACTCCCCCCGAGGAGTAACCGTGTCCCTTTGCAGGTGTGGGGGGACAGGAGGCGTGTCCGGGTGCCAGGGCTGGCGGTCACAGCGGGAGCTCCTTCTCGCCCTTCGCTGTCCCCCGAACCCCTCCGCCCTGCACCCCCCGACCCCGCCCGTGCCCACCTCGCCACCCCTGCTGCCAAACGCGGCTTTCTGCCGCCACCTGGTGATGGACACAGGGCCCGGCCTCACGGCTGGATCGGCAAATCGCTGCTTTATTCCTCCGTGTGACCCACCCGTGTCCATCCGAGCTGCGGCCCCCACGCCGGGGTGGAGCGGGGAACAAGCGGGGCTTGGAGGGACGCAGCTCATCCCTGGGGATGATGTGCTGGCAGGCACCCTGTGCCCGTGCCGGTGCCAGGGGAGGATGCCGAGCTCGCTGTGAGCCTGCTGTGGGCGGCAGCAGCAGCAGCTCTGCTCTCTCCCACGAGACCCGAGCGTGTCCCTCGTGTCCCAGACGCGCACAGGGGGGAAGGCTGCTGCTGACGGGAGGTTTTGCATCTTGGCTTGTGCTTTGCACACAGACACCGAAGCCCCTCGGCCTCCTGCGCCCACTTTGGGCAACCCTCGGGGAAGGTCAGGCGCTTATCATCGCCTCCCTGGTGGTGTCCCTGATGCTCTTCAGGAAGCTGAAGATGTGCGACCCGCCGGTTCCTTTCGCCTCTAGGGCAGACGGGGGTTTTCCCGCAGCGGGGCTCGGCTCTGCCCGCCTGGCCTTGGCTTTGGCGGCCGCAGCAGCGATGTACTTGGTGACGATGGTGATGTGGTAGGACCTGAAGGCTGCCAGCGCGGACACGCAGCGGTTGAAGGCGGCGCGGAGCTCCGCGTTCCCCGAGCGCAGCACGAGCTGCCGCGGGGACGCGGAGCCGCGGATCTCCTCCACGAAGGCTCGGTGCGGCGGGGGCATGTACTCCCTCATCCTGCGCAGGAAGGCGGCTGCGAAACACCGGCAAAGGCAGGAATGAGTTGTGAGTGAGTGGATTAAAGGCCCCGACACTCTAGGAGAGATGCTGGCCTGGAGCTGTGGTGCTGGCACAGTTTGAGGGACCCCTGCACAGCCTCCTCTGCTCTGTCTCTCAGTTAAGTGAGAAAGAAAACCCATATTAGGTCAGTGCTCCGTTAGGGCTGGTGCTAACCCTAAAAGGCAGGGTTTAGCCCTGCTCCCAGCCTTTTGGTTTTGGATTTTTTTTATAATTTTTTTTCTAGTAAAGTGGTTTTGCTTATTTCTGGTAAATGTTTCCGTTGTGAGCTGGACTAAAGTGGAGCTTTATGAATGGCCTCTCAATGGCAGGATGCCCACATGCTCTGCTCCCTGTCTCTGGGCCCATAGAGAACCTCAGCACAAAGCTGACATGCAAAAAGACAAGTGCATGGTTTTGTGAATTTGTCATGGTGAGGAAGCACCTGCCAGAGCCACATTTATAATATAACCTTCCTCCCTGGAACTGGGCAGAGCCTGGTGCCAGGCAGGCTCTGCAAGGATGAGATGGGCACACATCCTCCTGCCTGCCAGAGCTGGCACACTCAAGGGCATCGCTCTGGCTCATCTCCTCCCCAGCCCCTCATCTGCTTTGCAGAAGGAAACCTGTCACCATCATATTTTCTGAAAAACCCCTCCGCCAGGATTTCTTCTCCTGGGAAGCTGAGAAGCCTCAGAGAAAAATGAAAACAACAATTATCTGATTTGCTTCTCCTGTGTTTTGCTGCTTTGGAATGTGGTCTGGAGATTGTTTATCCAACAGGTGCATGTTTGATTGGTTCCATGTGAATTATTTTTACTTAATGACCAATCACTGTCAAGCTGTGTTGGGACTCTGGAAGAAGTCACAAGTTTCCATTATCACTCTTGGTAGCCTTCTGTCTGTATCCTTTCTCTATTCTTCAGTATAGTTACTAAAGAATATATAGTTATAGAATATATATATAGAATATATAGTTATATAGTTATAGTTATAGAATAACTATAGTTATTCTTTAGTATAATTAGCATGGTATAGTTTAGTATCATTTAGTATAGTATAGTTTAGTAAAGTATAGCATCCTTTAATATAATATAATATCATAAAATAATAAACTAGCCTTCTAAGAACATGGAGTCAGATTCACTCCTCTCTCCCCTCGTCGGGGTAGTCTGCAAATTCCCCAGAGAAGCTCGTGCTCACCGCTGTCCTGGCGGTGGCAGATGCCCAGGAGCTCGTCGAAGGCGTGCAGGACGGTGCTCTGCGCCGCGCTGCCCCCCGAGAACGCCATGGGCTGCGGGGACACCCCCTCGTAGATGAGCCCCTGCGCCATGGCAGGGTTGTCCTTCCAGCTGAGCGGGAGACACGGCAGTCAGGCAGCGGCCAAGGGGCTGGGGACAGGGGCCTGTGGGAAGGGACCTTGGGCTGGCAAGATTGAGCAAAACTTTCCTGCATCTCATGGATCTCCTCCTCCGACACGGCCGTGTCAGCCTTCCTCAAACAGGAGATAAACTTGGAAATCAGACTGTGTGCCAAAGCACACAGTGAGGCCGTGGGGGTAAGGAGAAATCCTTAATTTTCCTTTGTCAGAAGAGCGTTCTCTGGGATCTCCACGCCCTGGTGAGCAGCCTGTGGCATGGTGCTGGGACACATTGCCCTGCCTGGCTGCACCTCCAGCTCCAGCTCAGGAAGGTTTCTGCAAGCAACCTTGCAGAAACGATCAGCCTCTCTGATTTTCCCTCTCCCTTCCTCTCCTCTGAGGTGACACAAATCCATCCTCCTTGCAGGAGGGGAGGGGGCACTTGTCTGGGCACTTTACATCAATTCCCTGAATGTCAGTGGCCATTTGGAGAAGCAGGTAGTCACCCAAACACTCCTTTGAGCCCCTGAAGTTTGGATTTTCCTGTGTTGTTGTTACTCAAGATGTCTTTAAATGTCTTTTTAAAAGGCATTTGAAAGAAAAATAGAGGTCAGGCCAGCCTGCCTGTATTTATCTCTGCAGATAACAAGGCAAGGATGGGATTTCCTCCCTCTGAAGCTGCTGGTCCTGGGCAGGTCGGGAGCCAGCAGGGCTGGTGCCTCCCACACACACCCTGAACTCAGATCCTGCCAGCCCCCCTGGTGCCGAAATGGAGAAATGCTCACACCCAAATGGAGACAGGAGTTACGGTTTCAGGGAGGTAAAGTGCCTGGCACAAAAATATCTGTTGACCTTTAGCAGAATGCACCATTCCATGAGGCTTTCGGTGCTGGCTGCAGTGTCTGTTGGGCTACAGGAATAGATTTTACACAAACTGCAGAGAAAATAGCAGAATACCATTATCAAATACCAGAATATTTTTAGTTCTCCCAGGATTGTATTTATAGTAACCTCTACTAGTGGGAAGTTCTTATAAGCAGAAGGGAATTTAAAAGGCATGTTTTCCCAAGCTGATGACCATCGAGACAAGGTCAGCTTGGATAAAAAATGAGAGAAACTTAATCACGATGCACGGAGCCTTTTACTTGGGAATGCTGAGATATGATGGAGAGAAATAAAAATAGAACCCCCCTGAGAAGCCTGGGACCTGGTGTCTGCAGATGCTGCAGCCCCACAGGGATGCTGAGGGATGGGCCAGGGTTTAGCTCTTGGGCTGTGGCTCCACCTTGCCCAAACAGCATTTGCAGTATTTGGGGGGGATTTTCTTTTTTTCAACTGACAGAATTGTAACAGAGCAGCAGCAAGAGGATTTTTACAGATGTTTCCTTAACACGCAGTGGGAAGAGCCTCTGCTCAGCTTTGCAGCTTTGTGTACACAGTGTGGAAGGAAAGAGAAATTCCTCTTCTCCTGTCAAAACTGTTTGGCCAAGAGTAGGAAAGATTCATTTGTGCACAACTCTGCCTGCTGGGGCTGTCAGGGCTGAGCTGAAGTGTGGGATGGAGAGAAGCTGGAGGGAGGCAGACCCCAGCCCTTGGCCACAGTCCATGTCCAACTGACCCAGTGTCCAGGAATTCCGAATGACAGGATCATGATGCTCTAGGGAGCATCACTGCCAGACACAATCCTGGTCCCTCCCTGCCCTGGGCAATTCCATATCCCACCTGGGCTGCCCCTTCCCTGCACATTCCCAGCTCCCCCCAGCCCTGGGAGCTGCCAGCACAGCAGCTCTGAAGGGAAACAGGCCCCACTCACCCAGAGAGAAAGATCCTGATCACAGAGTAGAATACTTCTGGATCCACATAGTCTAGGAGGAAGTCAATCAGATCAGAGGCGAAGGGCAGTCACAGCAGAGCGTGTCGTGAGCTGCAGCACGCACAGGCACCAGCTGCTCTCACCGTGCATCCGCCCCAGCGCCTCCCTCATGGCCTCGATGGCCCCTGCCAGCTCCTCCAGGGCTCTGTGCAGGGACTCCTCATCACCCTGCAGGGTGGCACCAAGGGCCCGGCTGATTGCCTGCGACAGGAGGAGGGAGAGCACCAAGTCACAAAGGATGTCTGTGTACAGGCTCTGCACATTTGCCGCACCCGTGGCAGCGCTGCCCCTTGCCCAGCCCGGGTTCAGGGGACAGGAGCACCTTGTGGGTGCAGGTAAGCAAAGAGACCCGACACACAGTGCCCACCTTAATGCCAGGCACAGCTGCCTTCTCCACAAGCAGGGTGACAAGGATGAAGCCACGCAGGCTCTCTCCCCCAGGCAGTGTGATGATCGTGTCCAGGTTCCTGCACAAAGCGGCCGAGGAGAGGGATTGGGAGCATGGTGGCTCAGGATTTCCCTACACACTGTGGGACCCACTGAGCCCTTGGAACAAAACCATCCCAGACTCCAGAGCCTCTTATCTGCACCCTGTGCAGAGAGGAGCTGGCACAGAGTGAAAGGGGAGCAGGACTGCTCTGGTTTGGGGGGCCTGCCATCCTCCCCATGGCCCATGGCCAGTGGGTCTGTGCAGCCAGAGCAGCCAGCAGCTCTGCCACAGTCCCTGTGCTGTCGTCGCAGTGGCACTTGTGTGACAAATACAACACACATCAAGAGAGGTCCAGTCCAAGAAGTGCTACAGAGCTGAGCCAATCCAAACAAAACCAACACCGTTAGAAAATAAATGAGCAATAACTACTTACTCAATTTCCAGAGGCCTGAAGGCATCGCAGTTATGGCCAACAAATGCACAAGAAAAAGGATAGAGAGAGAGAGAGATTATAAATTGTTCTAGTAACAATCCATGCTCTGCAGGGAATAGAGGAGCTGCTCCCCACCCATGTCCCCACAGAGTTCCTGTGTCCATACCCACGAGGCTGACCCCAGCAAAGGTGGGATTCAAGGGGCTTTGGCAGAACGGGAGCAGTTTGGGAACAGTCTGTCCCCAACACCTGCTGATCACTGCTGCCCCACCGCAGGAAGAACCGCGCTTGGTCTGTTTTTTGGCATTTGCCTGTTTACCCGTTGGGGTCCTTCCTCCTCCAGTTGGCCAACACAAAGTCTGCGTGGCTGAGGATGGGCGGGAGGCCCAGGGCCTGTGAGACCTCCCAGTAGGGGACGGCGAGGTTTCGGGGCAGGACCTGAGTGTCACAAAGCACAGGGGATGTGGTCAGGCTGTGCAAAGGTGCCTGTGTGTGCAGGCCAGGCAGAGGGGCCACGCTCCTGCTGCAGCCACAGGAAAGGGGCTTTGCTCCCGTGGGGTGAGTTCTAAGGGAGCAGCATCAGCTCCCAGACCCCAAGGAGCAGGCGAACCTGCTTTACCTTGCCTTTACCTGCACAGTGCCCTCCTCGCCCTCCTGCCAGACGTAGCCCATGGTGATGAAGCTGAGCACCAGGTGTGCCAAGTGCAGCTCCTCACGTCCTCGGAGGTGCTGGGTGTTCAGCTGCGGCATCTGCCAGGGAAACCCTTGGGAGCAAGGAGCAGAGCCAGCAATGCCAAGGCCCCTGTGGTGGAGGGGCTGCCCTGCCAGCTGAGGGGAGCCCTCCTGGTGCTTCTCCCCTGCCTCCCTTCCCACCCACTCTGCAGGATTTGCTCCTGCTGCACTGTTACTGGTTTGTGAGCAGGGACAGTAATCCATGGGGTTTTCCTCAAAAAGGAGTCCCTCCTCCTGGTGCTGGGAGCAGCTGATCCCAAAAGGGTCGAGCCTGACTGGAAGCTGAGGGGCACCTGTGCTCCTTTGGCAGGAAGCATGACTGGGATGAGACATGGCTCTTGTGACACCTAGAGGTGCCCTGCTCCAGCTCTTGCTGGCTGCTGAGTGCTTGGATCTGCTGCGGGAGTTATTTCTGTGCCAAAGTTAAGACTTTGCTGTCACCTGGTGTCAGTCCTGGCTCAGCACACATCTGTGCTGCTGGGCTGGTTTTGCACGTTTTCCAGACACTGCTGTGTTTGAGAGAGCTCTGGAGGCAGGAAGGAGAAGCCATACCTGGTGCACATGTGAGCGGAGCTGATGGCTCGTGATCAGCTGGGGCAGCTCATGGGCAATGTCCATCCAGGGGCCGTAGGGCGCCGGCAGCTCTGTCTTGGTGGAGAGAGGCAGAGGAAGGGCTGTGAGCGTGGCCAGGCTCCCAGCACCCACCCAGCCCTGCACACCACTGCTGGTGCCTTGTGCCTGGTTCCCCCTCCTGTGTGGTCACAAATTAACGGATGGTGAACACGATCTGTCTGTCCCCACCCACTCCCACTGTGGAACCAGGCCAGTAATAAATAGCCCCACTTTGGGCCCTTCTTGTGCCCCAAAAATCCTGTAGAGCCAAGGCCAGTGTGTAAATGGCAGAGCTCCTTCACCTCTCCTCTGTGCTGCAGCAGCTTTCATCATTTGAAAGGGCAGGGGTTTGTCCTATGAATAGCACCTGCCTTCCTCATTGCTCTTTGTAAAGTGTTACAGCAAAATGCCAAATCAAAGCTCCCCCAGAAAGCTGCTCACCGACCCCTCTATTTTCCTGTCTGCCTCCTGTGCCATGCGGATGGGGAGGCACAGCCAGCTCCTACCAGAGGATCGGGAAGCAGGAAGCCAAACTCCTCGGAGATTTGAAACCTGGGCAGTGCCAGAGGCAGCGGGGGCTCCTCCGTGTCGCTGCTGGCCTCCATGGCTGGATGCTGGCTGTCAGGAGGTGCTCTGGCAGCTTGTGCTGAGCCAGCAGCAGCACCTTGTCCTGGGGGTCAGGCCTGGCTGCCCAATGGCCAGAGGGTCTGAGCAAACACGGCTAAAGGTCGCTGATAAGGCTTTGTCTGGAGCAAACATTAAACTCTGTCTCCGTGGGGTGGGCATCCACCCATGGGAAAGCCTTGGGTCATTTCTCTCTGGGGAAGCAGGGGCTGTGAGCTGACTCCTCCAGGACTGCCCTGAGGGGCTGCCAGGCTCCCAGAGGGTGGGAGGTGGCCTGGGGCAGCAGCTCAGGGACACTGCTTGTGTGGCTGGCAATGCCAGACTGTGTGCCCTGGGCTGCTGACCTGGCCATGGCAGTGAGGAGCCAGCCTGGGGGTGGTGGATGCTGGCACCTGGCCAGAGATGCACACACACAGTGGATGCTGCTGCTTTCCCCATGCTGCTGGGGTCACTGGGGCTACTGGTGGGGTCCCAGCACCAGAGGGGGGTCAGCAGGATGCTCTGAGCAGGGCCTTCCCAAACAGCAGCTTTTTGGGGGAAAACCAGCCCTGAGAGTGCTGCCTATGCAGGGGCCAGGGCTGGAGGGAAGGGAAGGGAAGGGAAGGGAAGGGAAGGGAAGGGAAGGGAAGGGTACAACAGCAGGACTGACATCCCATGGGGTGCAGGTCCAAGCCTGGGGGTACAAACAGCAGGACTGACACCCCTGTGGAGTGCAGGTCCAAGGGCACTGCAGGAAACATACACTTCACATACAAAACAGAGGTGACACCCTCACAGTCAGTGCTGCAGCCACCACACGAGGCAGTGGCCCTCCCTGGTCCCCAGCTCTGAGGAGGGGGCCATGAGCCACACACATCCACAGTCACACAGGAGAGTTCCACTTCAGAGGCAGCCACAGCACCTGGGGCAGCCCTGCCAAACAGCCCCCAGCATCAGGCAGCTTCACAGCCCTCACAGACAGGCAAATCCCAACCAGCACCATGTGCCCACAGAGAACAGGGGGCAATCTCAGCAGCTGTGGCCCCTAGGCCCCGAGAGCAGGGTTAACTCTGGCAAAAAACATAAACTATGTAAGCACAAAACCACGGGGCACTGGCCATGACAACAGCTTTGCCCAACACATTTAATTAGTGCCCGTGGTGCTGCCCCAGCGCTGGCGCTGGTGTTGGGTCCGTGTCTGTCTTCATCTCCAGCTCCGGCTCTAGCTCTACGTCTGTCTGCAGCTCCGGGGCCACCTCTGGGTCTGGCTTCTGATTTAGCTCCAGGTCTGGCTCCAGATTGAGCTCTGGATCTGGCTCCAGATTTGGCTCCAGGTCTGGCTCCCGATGTAGCTCCAGGTCTGGCTCCAGATTGAGCTCTGGATCTGGCTTCTGATTTGGCTCCAGGTCTGGCTTCTGATTTAGCTCCAGGTCTGGCTCCAGATTGAGCTCTGGATCTGGCTCCAGATTTGGCTCCAGGTCTGGCTCCCGATGTAGCTCCAGGTCTGGCTCCAGATTTGGCTCCAGGTCTGGCTCCCGACTGAGCTCTGGATCTGGCTCCAGATTTGGCTCCAGGTCTGGCTCCCGATTGAGCTCTAGATCTGGCTCCAGATTTGGCTCCAGGACTGGCTCCCGACTGAGCTCTGGATCTGGCTCCCGATTTCGTTTCAGGTCTGGCTCCCGATGTAGCTCTAGGTCTGGCTCCCAATTTAGCTCCAGGTCTCTCTCCAGCTCCCTGTCCGTGTCCCTCCTGGTGCTGTGGGGGACCTACAGTGGGGCCTTAGCCCTGACATGGCTCAGGGGGTGCCTCAGCCTGAGGGCACCTCTGCCCAAGGGTCACCTCAGCCCTGGGCAGTGTCCTCATGTCCCCAGTGTCCTCATGTCCCCACGGGAATCACGTTGTCCCCTTCCCTCCCCTCTCCAGGATCCTCTCAGCCTCTCGCACCCCCTGCCTCCCCCAGGCAGCAGTGGGGCCCCACTCACCCCTCGGTGCCCAGCGCCTGCTCCTCACAGCGCTGGCCTGGCACCTGCTGCCGCCACAGGCCGAGCCCCAGGGCCGCCGTCAGGAGCAGCAGGACGAGGCTGGAGCCCAGCACCAGCCAGGCCATCTCAGCATCCTCCAGTGCCCGCTGCAGGCCTGGCGGGAGACAGCCCAGATGGGCACAGGCCCTGCCAGCCCTGCCAGGCACAGCCACTGCCAGCCCAGATGGGCACAGCCCTGTCAGCCCAGCCAGGCATAGCCACTGCCAGCCCAGATGGGCACAGCCACTGCCAGCCCAGATGGGCACAGCCACTGCCAGCCCTGCCAGGCACAGCCACTGCCAGCCCGGCTGGGCACAGCCACTGCCAGCCCAGATGGGCACAGCCCTGTCAGCCCAGCCAGGCATAGCCACTGCCAGCCCAGATGGGCACAGCCACTGCCAGCCCAGATGGGCACAGCCACTGCCAGCCCTGCCAGGCACAGCCACTGCCAGCCCTGCCTGTCCAGCCCAACTGGGCACAGGCACTGCCGGCCTTGCTGGGCACAGGCACTGCCAACCTTGCCTGTCCAGCCCAGCCTGGCACAGGCACTGCCAGCCCTGCTGGGCACAGCCACAGACAGTCCAACTGGGCACAGCCACTGCCAGCCCTGCCTGGCACAGGCACTGCCGGCCTTGCTGGGCACAGGCACTGCTGCGGGGCACTGCCACAGCCAGCCCAGCTGGGCACAGGCACTGCCAACCCTGCCTGTCCAGCCCAGCCTGGCACAGGCACTGCCAGCCCTGCTGGGCACAGCCACTTCCAGCCCTGCTGGGCACTGCCACAGCCAGCCCAACTGGGCACAGCCACTGCCAGCCCTGCCTGGCACAGGCACTGCCAGCCCTGCTGGGCACTGCTACAGCCAGTCCTGCCGGGCACAGGCACTGCCAACCCTGCCTTTCCAGCTCAGCCTGGCACAGGCACTGCCAGCCCTGCACAGGCCCTGCCAGCCCTGCCAGGCACAGCCACTGCCAGCCCTGCCTGTCCAGCCCAACTGGGCACAGGCACTGCCGGCCTTGCTGGGCACAGGCACTGCCAACCCTGCCTGTCCAGCCCAGCCTGGCACAGGCACTGCCAGCCCTGCTGGGCACAGCCACTTCCAGCCCTGCTGGGCACTGCCACAGCCAGCCCAACTGGGCACAGCCACTGCCAGTCCTGCCTGTCCAGCCCAGCCTGGCACAGCCACTGCCGGGCACAGGCCCTGCCGGGCACAGGCACTGCCAACCCTGCCTTTCCAGCTCAGCCTGGCACAGGCACTGCCAGCCCTGCACAGGCCCTGCCAGCCCTGCCCACGCCATCCCACGGCTGCCCCACTCACCTCCCTCTGTCAGCTGCAGCCCGCTGTCCCTGCTGCCCCCACGGCGTGACCCCCTCCTCCGGCAGTCGGGGGGCTGCCAGCCCGGATTGCAGTGGCAGTTGCCCTTGTTGTTGCACACCTGCAAGGCCAGGGAGGGGTCCAGGTGTGCAGGGTACTGGTACAGCCTGCCCCTCCCCAGCCCAGCGCCCGTGGGACTCACGCCATGGCCGTGGCAGTTTTCTTTGCTGTCACAGTTCTGTCCCAGCACCGAGAGTGGGTGGCATGTGTTGTTTATACACACCTGGGAAAAACCATGGCAGCTCCAGCCCAGCACTGCCTCACCCATACAGCGCTCAGCACATCAGGCTATGGCCCAAAGGGAAATGAAAACACACTATTTAAAAGGGAAAAAACCCAAAAAAGACAAGGCACAGTTCTGCCCTGAGGCCAGGTCATTTTAGTGCTCACACCCCACCAAACCTTTAATGCAATGTCTGCAAGTTTTTACAGTGTTTTTAAATATCAAGGACATTGCTGCAAGGAACAAGTGTTTCTATGATCTTGTTAATATTGACAGTTTCTATTTGTCATTCCAGACGATTACAGAATATTTCCTTACCCTTCCAGAGCCACACTTTGTCCCTGGAGGAACCAGAAGGGGATCCAGCCATGTGGGTACGTTCAGGTAGTTCACAGTCACACACAGGTGATGCCGCACTTGGGCGTACATCACGGCGGCGGCGGGGGATGAGAAGGGCTTGTGGGATGGGTACGTGCAGATTAACTTCCCACACCTGAGATCCCTGCAAAGCCAATTTGCACGGGATGTGTATCAAGCAGACACAGACACACAGATACTGCCTGATGAACACCAGAACATTAAGCAGCACAGTCTGCTGAGCAAACATCAGCAGGACTGGGAGGTCTGACATAAGGAGAGACACCTCATCAAGGAGAACACACAGAGAGGTATTTCTTGCTTCACAAATCTGCAGTCTTGACACTTCTCTTGGCTGTCCAATCCCAATTAAAGATGGATTTCAGCAGAGCCAGTGCCCCCTGCCCAGCGTACCTCCAAACACAGCGCCGGTAGTTTCGTCCGTCCTTGAAGCCGCAGTGCCCGAACCTGTCCCGCTGGCTGTTAATCTCCTCGTAGCACACCAGGGGAGCGTTCTTTGAATCTGCAAGTGTGCCAACAATATTTGGTACCGTTAAAAGGAACACAAAGGAACATATTCTGGTACCTAACAACTTCATTTTTCATTATTTAATTAGAGAGAACATACCTATCCCTGCCCAAACCCCCAGCAGTCCTGAACCTCAGAAATCAGCAGGGGAGTAGCAAATGGGTATCCCTGCCCAAACCCCCAGCAGTCCTGAACCTCAGAAATGGAGAAGTTCTCTGATTGAGTTTGCCCACAGAAAATAATTTCCTTTTTGTTCTTTCCATTGTTATCTGTGAAGCACTGGGGAACTCTCTTAACCAGAGCCAAACCAGAGCTTGAAATGCTTTTCTAGAGCTCTCAGGTGCCCCACTGTCACCCGAGCTTGGTGCATTGAAGAGTACAGCTTCAAAACAGAGGTGACACCCTCATAGTCAGGTGCCCCACTGTCACCCGAGCATGGTGCATTGAAGAGTACAGCTTCAAAACAGAGGTGACACCCTCATAGTCAGGTGCCCCACTGTCACCCGAGCATGGTGCATTGAAGAGTACAGCTTCAAAACAGAGGTGACACCCTCATAGTCGGGTGCCCCACTGTCACCCGAGTGAAGAGTACAGGTGCATTGAAGAGTACAGCTTCAAGCTGTGTGGCCGTGCTGCTGTGGCCACCCCTGGCCCTGAGCGGTGCCAGTGCCACCAGCACAGCCTGTTACCTCTCCCGTAGAGCTGCTTGCACTGCAGGTCTGGGGACTGGCAGCGTCCCCCGTAGCAGTAGCCGGTGCCGTGGCCGCACTCCTGCCCGTTCTGCACGTACACGTCGGGCGGGCAGGAGGCGGAGGAGCCGCTGCAGAACTCGGGCAGGTCACACTGGGCATCGGCGGCCGGGCGGCACGGCGAGTTCCTCCGCTTGAACTGGGGAGCAGGAGCAGCTCTGCAGCCTCCCTGCCTGCCAGCCTGAGCCCACACAGCCCACTCTGACCATGGCCTCAGGGTCCCTCCCCCTTGAGGCGCTCAGGTGTGACACGTGTGTGACACTGGTAATGTCCCCCCCAGGGGTTCCCAAGAGCTGAGCTGGGAACCCCAGGAAACTTTCTCATTGCACAGCAGGAAGTTTGGCTCTGTCCCTCAGCATGGGAACATACCATTTGTCCAAAAATAAATAATGATTTTGTCATAATTACAAAAATGTGCCTTACCTGACAATTTCTACAACATAATCCAGTGGCACATCTTGCTCTTGGCTTCAGCCTACACGTTTTAGTGCAACACTTGTCCTTCAGGCATTCCTGTGGACACATGGCAAACCAAAATATTTTATCCTGTCGTACCCCCGAGCTTCTCCTCCTCCTCTCCCCATATCACTCAGGCGACATCCAGCAGAACAAACGGGCAAAGCCGCCACCGGACCGGTGCCACACAGAAACAATCTCCAACCCAAGCCAGCCCTCGCTGGGCCGCTCCCCGCTGCTCTGGGGCTCCCAAGGGCTGGTTATTCCACACGTGCTCGGGGCACAAAGGCAGCGTCTGGCCCACCTGCTCTGTGCCACAGTCGCACTGCTCGCCCGGCTCCACCACGCCGTTGCCGCAGACGGCCTCGCTCTGGCGGGACAGGCGGATCAGCCGGGGGCTGCCGAACAGGCACGAGCCTCTGCCCTGCTTCAGGAAGGTCTCAAAGTCCCTGATGCTGCAGTTACTGAAGGATTTTGCCCCGCTGAAATGTCTAAAATAAAGCAATTATTGGGTTATATGTTATACACTCAACGCCCCTCTCTCTCTCCAAAGCTCTGCGTGTGCCCAGACCTGGCACAGGGCACGATGGCCCCCAGGGTCTATTAATTCACCTGATCTACAGCTCGTTATGAACAGAGATTGAAAAACATTCTGAAGTACCTTCATTTTAGAGAGCAAAGGTCTCTTTTGTCGAATTAAGCGCTAAATTGCTATTTAATTAATTCTTTTTTTCTTAGAGGAATTAAAACAGGTATTTCTTCACTGAAATAGTGGTCAGGCATTGGAATTGCTGCCCAGGGAGGTGCTGGAGTCCCCATCCCTGGAGGTGTTCAAGAAATGACTGACACAGCACGCAGCACTCTGGTCCAGTTGACAAGGTGGTGATTAGCCAAAGGTTGGACTCCATGGTGCTGGAGGCCTTTTCCAGCCCCAGTGATTCCATTTTTGCAGTGGAATGACAGTGGTGGAGGACACCTCTGACAAGGGGACACGGTGCAGCCATCCCTGTCCCCCACCTCACGTGCCCCAGCCCCGCAGCCCCTCGGGCAAACTCACAGCGCCTCAGGGCTCATGGTGCAGACGCGCCCGGGGCAGCTGCAGCCTCGGGGGCTGTCGGGGCTCATGCCCAGGCTGTGGGCCAGCACCTGCGCCAGGAGGACGGAGAAGGACTCCAGGGTCACGTTCCTGTTGTACTGGAGGGAGGAGAGAGGGGAGCGGCCAGAGCTGAGCGTTCCTTGCAGAGAATCCCTGCTCTGGACACAGATCCTCCCACGTGCTCCATCCACCCCTGTCCCCGCTGCCCACAGCCATGGTGAGGGACAGGCAGAGGACAGGTGGGACCATACCAGGGCCACCGTGGCAGCAGCATCTCTCTGACATGCCTCTCCTGGAGCCGCTGCGCCCACCAGGGCTCCGTGGTCCCTGTACCTGGAACAGAGGTGGGGTCACTGCTGGTCCCAGGGACCCCCTCTCGCTGTGGTCAGTGGGGGATGCTGGCTCTGTACAGCCCAAGTCCCCTTGGTGCCCCTGACTGTTGTCCCCAGGGACAACAGTCCCTGTGATAAAACTGGAAAAACATGTGAACTACTGCATTTTGGGAATTACTACTTAACTATGATGACATGTAATCATTCAGAAAGTTTGTGTAAGGGAGCTAATTACTGTAGATCAAAAAATTATATTAGTTTTATCTGTATACTCTCAATTCTTCCAAGGGGCTACTAAGGACCATAATAGAGGCAGTATTGTGTATCAGACCAGCTAAATTTAGGTGTCTAACAAATTTAGGTGTCTAAAAAATGGGGCAGGGTCTGCGTGGTGGGAAGCTGGCAGGGACTGGGGGCTGCCACCATTCCCAACTCCTCAGCCTGGGTGGGTGGCAAGGGATGGATGCACCATTGCAGCTGCTGCATGGCTAGGAGGAATGTCTTGGAAGAAATACTTTAAGAATGTTAAGGATTTAGGAAATATGGGGTTTTTTGAAAGCATTTGTCAAAGTTTCCACTTACATTGGTTTGACTGATTGCTACCAGGTGACCTTTAACAGTAATGAACTTGTATCTTACCCTAAGAGAGAAGCAATGTTGTGGGCCTGTGGCTCCAGAGACAACTGTTTCCACTGTGAAAATCGCTGCAGAAGGTCATCTGTGTCCCCTGCTGTTGATATTTTGTCCCCCTCTGCCCACAGCTCCAGGGAGGACAGCACAATGGTGACATTAAGGGGATTAAACATCTGAAAGTGTAAGAGAGGAAACATTGCACTCACACCTTCCCTCCATGCAGAGTCACCACTCTGCACGCAGTAAACACATGGAAAAAGTAAATTGCTGCTGTCAGTGCCTCAATGACATCTGTAGCCAAAAAAAACTCCTAAAGAATAAAGAGATACAGCAAGAGGCCTGAGCCAAAGTCCAATAACTTCATAAGTGTTAGGGGTTTTGGGAATAACTTCTCATTACACAAGTGAACCATAAGAGCACCAGTGGAATAAAGAACATTGGGAAGGACTGGAAGTTGGTTACAAGCACCTGAGAGTAAGCAGGTAAATTGGATCAGTGGGCTCAGGGATCTGCTGCACAGAGAGGGAAGCAACCCAGGAGTCCTCAGAAGGCAGGGTTTGGCTGCCCTGAGGCAAACTGCCTGTTTTTCTGTACATCTGCACAAGACATGGCCACCACACAGGAAAGATGTTCTTTTGTCACAGGCTGACATGTCCAGAGGAAAAACCTTCTCAGGAAACATGGAATTTTTAACACAACATCCTCCTAAACCTAAAAGCAGCTAGAAAAGAGGTGGCCACTGCTAACATCAACATCCCCCTCGTCCCCCATGTCACTGCAGTACAAACCAGACTTAAGGACTCACATTGTTGATTAAGTTGAAGGCCTGGATTATGTTCTGTGTCGCAGCATTCGGGTCTGATCCCATATAGTTGTACTGAAAAACAACCCAAGAGGACACAAGGGCAGACAAGGTGCTTACCAGGGTGAAGCATGTCAGTGTTGGAACACTGAAATGATTCCCAACACCGAGCCATGGAGACATGAGCTACAAATTCATGTTCCTTATTTCCTACAAAATCCACAGCACACAAAATGGAAAACAAATCCACCTAAAAGCTGGGAAATGTTACCATTTCCATGCTCACAGAAGTCAGGCAAAGACAAGGAAAAAGTAGCTGGTATGGACTTACCAAAGCCTTGTCCAAAACCACGTACACCGTGAGGTATTTGGGAGATTGTGCAGCGGCCGAGAGGGGCTAAAAGAGAAAAATGGGCTTCAAAGTACAGATTCTGCATTCTCTGGTCACCTCACTGCTGCTGTAGGTCCTCAGAGCTTGTGTCCAGGTGTCTGGCCAAAGCTTCCAGCAGAACCAGGCCCCTCCTCACAGGCCAGGGCGCTGTGAGAACAGGCACCGCTCACCTCATCCTCCCCGGGGGCATTGTCCAGCATCTGCCAGGCTGGCAGCCCTGCCTCGGGGGGGCTGTGGGCACGGAGGGCCTGTGCCATCTGCTCCTCACTCACTCGGTACAGCACGTGCTGGAAGGCAGGGGAGTAGCCCAGGGGCTGGATGCCGTAGCTCACGTTCTCAAACTGCAGCAAACCCCTGCCAGGGGCACCAGCACTGCCCACTTGCTCCTGGGCACTGGCACAGCTGCCCCAGCACCAGCTGTTTGCTCCTGCCAGGGAGGGCAGCACAGGGACAGGGCTGGGGCTTTACCTGAGCCCCGAGCAGGTGTTGAGGGTCACTGCTGAGCTGGGGAAGCCATCGATGTACCCCCAGTAGTGGCAGCCTCCCTGTGATGTGGCAGAGGACAAGGAGCACGGCTGGGCAGGCCATCCCCTTACCCACCACCCAGACAGCTGCAGCAGCTGCCCTGGGCAGAGACAGACAGCCCAAAGCAAGGCCAGGTTACCTCAGCGTGGGCAGAATCAGAGTACAAAGATCCCTGCTCACCGGACACGTAAGTCTGGAAATCATCAGATAAAAAGGCACTACAAGAGAGAGGCACAAAGTGAGGTCCTTACAACAGCATCCATCACCCAGAGCTTCTCGAGCTTCTTGCAGGTCCTGCAGCCACCAGGGAGCAGGGCAGCCACAGGGCCAACTCACTGCTGCTGCAGGTGGATGGTGTACAGCCTGCCCTCGATCCTCAGGATGTAGGACACTGCCTCCTTGTGCATACAGAAAAGCAGAGAAGGGGAGAATTGGGAACGGGGAGTTGGGAATAGCATGATCCAAGGCCTGCTGTGAACAGCAAAGGGGGAGCACAGCGTGGGTGCAGCCAGCACGGTGCTGGCAGCTCTGCTGTGGTGCCACTGTTACAGCTGCCACCACATCTGTACTCCCCCAGCCCTCTTCTGCAGCTGAGCCTCACTTTGCCCTCCCTTCTCCCAGCCTCCCCAGAGCCCCCCAGCACCGTGCCTGCTTCAGCCCCTCCACTCCTTTTGTGTTGGCCCCCAGCTGCTGCGGGATTGTGATCTGGGACCAAACCCGCCCACCCACAGGGGACAGAGACCCCCATGGCTGAGCCCAGTCCTGGCGGGCGGGGGGCTCGGGGGGGCCCTGCCCAGCCTCATGCAGCAGCTCCAGGAGCAGCAGGAGCAGCAGCGGTGGCATTGCACAGAGTGGCCCCATGGCTGGCCGGTAACAGCCCCACCAGTAACGGCCCCAGAGCCCACCAGTAACTGCCCACGGGTAACAGCCCCACCAGCAACAGCCCCCCCCAAAGCAGAGGCCGAGGCAGAGGGTGGTTTTTTTATACAAAACTGGCATCTTTATTGCTTGTTGGGTCTGTACAAAGGGGTTGGGAACAGCCCTTGGGCCAGAGAGCAGCGCGGGGCCGGCTGCAGAGGTGGACACGGCTCCCGACCTGCCCGGGACAGGTATTCATACATTTTACAAAACAAAGTCAGTAGTCATCTTCAGTATTCACCAAAAACTGGAGCCATTTCCTGTCCATGGGATCACTCCTCAAAGCCCACGTCCCTGTTCCAACGTGCACGCCGGGAGTACAAAATCTCTTTGTCTAGTGAAGGCACCGTGTTCAGCATAGTTTAGTTCACACACACAGTTAAGTTACATCTCTCTGGATGACTTCATTCCCTGGATCCCCTCCTCTTTCCCCACCCTCTGACCAGGGCTGGAGATGGGCTGCATCCAGCTGCAGAGCTCATTGTGACAGACAGACAGACAGACAGCCCGCTCAGGCAGAGCGGGACACAGCAACACAATTAGGAAGTAATTGATTATCTTGGAAGAAAAAGGAGACCCCCCACCAGTACAGTTGGTGAAATTCTAGGTGACATTTTACAGATTTTAATAGTGTTATAAATCTTAATCTAAGTTTATGGGAAACCACAGGAGTTCAAGTATTTTATTACTGCACACACTATATATATATTTATGTATGTATATACAGAGAAAAAGATTATTTTTGGCAATATTAGGGGGATTTTACAGATTGAGCTGTGCTTGTGGCGAGCACAGAGTGAAACAGCCCAGCACGCTCTTCAGCACTTATCTCACTTTTAGCAAGTTTGTGCAATAGAACCTCACTTTTAGCAAGTTGTGCAATCGATTTCTATTTGTGATCATGATATCCAGCTTCTACCCACGGCACCACGGGATCAGGATCTACAGCTCCCTCTCCTAGCACAGTGGATGCTGAGCACCTCTGCTCAGGAGGAGCTCCAAAATCCAGTCTAGCCCATGGTGCAGGAGCAGAGGGCAGCCTAGTCTGACACACAGCAGCCCAGAAGCATCCTGACTGACACTACAAGGGCTTGGCTGTTAAAAGATGGGGTGCATCAGTCACCAGGTTCCCATTTAAAGCGCTCAGAGAAGCTCTGGTGGTCCAAGCAGAGACACTTCCCACTTCCCAGTGTTCTGCAGGGACTGCTGCTGTCTTTAGACCTGAATTAAAACCTAACAGCCCCCCATTTTTTAAAACCAGAATATGGCCGTGTCTTGTCGTACCTTTATCTTCACTGCCCATCCACGTATTAGTGGGAATTAGTACAGGAGTCTCGTTTAGCCACTCTCTAATTAAAAAGCATTAAACTCAGTGCTCCTATAGCACAGCTTAGTGTCAGTCAGCATGGAGTTAAGAATTTAAGTGCATTATTATGCATCTATAAACATATATACATGCATAAACATATTTGAAATACATCTCTCTTCCTGAAAAAGTCCTCTGAGACCTCATTCCATTTATTCCATTAAGGTGTACATGGGAAACACTTTCCAGTCCATGCAGAGTAACTGTAAATTAACTGACCAGATCTCCTTGCTTTGCAAACGGGTTACTCCAATTCCTCACTGCACAGTCAGAGAGACAACAACAAATCGGACAAATTTCCTTACCAGGGCTCGTGGCAGAAATGGGGAAACCCAAACCCACGTGCTGGATTTCAGGACAATTTCCCTGCAGGCTGCTGCACTCCTGCTGCCAGCCTGGCTGCAGAGGCAAAGCTTGGACAGAGCGAGGGACAGGCTGGGTGTTTCAGTCCCTGGAGCTTTGGTCGAGGTATTTATTGAGTGTAAAGTTCTACATTCCTGGTTGGGATCTCTCCTTTGCCCTGTCCCAGGCTGCAGAGGGAGGCTGCCGGCACTGCCACGGGATGCCAGAAGGGGAACTGCAATTTCAGCCGTCGCAGCCAACAGGTCAGCTCGCACAAAGGCCCCGGGGAGCCAAAAGCTATTTGGGAGGCAAAGGTGCCGGTCGGGAAGGGAAGTACTGTCCCTGAGGTAAACATTTCTGCTGTGCTGGCGGCGGTCCCTGAGGTACAACCTTCTGCTGCGGGGGCGGGGGCCTGCGGGGGGACACAGGAGGAGCAGTCAGTGCCACAGCCCTCACACCCCACCGAGCCCAGCCACCACTGCCCCACCCAGCTCCACACCGAGACTGACTGTCACCCTGTTCTTCTAAGCCTTCTGGTGTTTACAGTCTTGTAATGAAGTTACTCAGGCACTTTTATGTAAATAATTATTGGTTTACATTCTTCTCTGGAGGAGGAGAAATTTGATGGACTGTTGGTTTGTCCAGTGTCACTGGAGAGGTGGCACTGTCATCCTCCAATCCACTGTCACTTTTGTAAGTCTATAAATAGTGGAGTCAGAAAATAAACTTCCCTTCTTTTTCTTCTTCTTACCTTGGAGTCCAGTGTCCACATTGTTTTATTTCATGTCCTATTGCAACAACTGATTCCAAACATGCCACACTCAGACTGTGCTTTCAATGGCCTGAAATCCTCTGGATATCCCCATCTGTTACAACTCACCTTTTCTCCCAAAATTCTCTGAAGACCCCCCCCCAAGATGAGTTACATTAAGATGCTCCCACTCAGCCACTGGCACTTCCTGGGTCTGTGTGTGGCACAGCACAGCACAATTCAAAAGTAAGATGAAAAATACGGGAAAACTTTCTGCTCCAAGTTAAGAGAAATGGTTTTGCACTTGGCCATAGCATTCACAAATCAGCACAATGACAGATTTGTGAGCAATTTGCTTTTAAACTGACTATTTTAAGAGGCTTTTCATCCACCTGCTGGGCTAATCTGCCCGCACAGCAGCGCTCTGAGCCTCGTCCATCACCACACAGCCGTGACAGCGCAGGATGAACGCGCTGCCTTCCAGGGTGAAGTGAAGGAGAAACTTCTCCCAGTGAAAAGTCAGCCCCACTCACACACAACACGTGATGGAACACCCCCAGAGGGCTCCTGGGAGTGACAGCCAGGACAAGAAATGCCATCAGTGCCCCTGGCAGCGGGCACTTGCAGTAAGTGCACTGACCTGCTGGGCACCCTGGGTGCCTGCTGCAGCGGGTACTGCGGTGGGGAGTAGTAGGGCTGGTGGAAAGCCTGCTGAGGGTGCTGGTTAACTGGGTAAGCTGGAACAGGAAAGGTGTTGGGATGCATGTCCTGCAAAGGAAACACAAAGAGAATGTTCAACAATTGCACATGGGGAATCAAAGTATTTGCATCACTAAGAAAGTGATGTTCAAGAATGCTTGCAAAGCAGCCTGGCAATGTCAGAGGTGCTCTTTCCTCTGAGAAACTCAGTAGGAAGAAGCAACAGCAGTCTGGAAACTGCTGGGTTTTGAAAAACACAGAAAGGCTGATCACAACAGCACTTGGTTTGCTCTGGGAGTGTGCTCTGGCTGGCTGTGGCTTTCAGAGGACAACTGCTCTGACAAGGAGAGGGGCTCCCACGTGGGCTGGGCCTCTGGCATGAGGAAAAGGGAGCAGCAAAGCAGGTAAACCAAGCACAGCCTGGGACAGCACTTAAACTGGGAAACTGAGGAGCCCCCCACACAACCCTTAGAAAACAAATATACTCTCTGCTTTTTATCAAGGAGAAACATAATTTTCAGAAATGAAGAAGTAACTTGAAAGCTTTTATTAGGGCAAAAGTTATAGCAACTGCCTTCATCTCTTGACTTGAGTGTAACAAATAGAGTAAGGGAAGGTAGCTGATTCCTACCATGGGCACAGCTCTCGGAGGATAAGGCATGCCACGGGAGAAGCCTCTCTGCTGGTAGTCCCTGGGTTCAGTGTCTGGCCGAGGAGGAGGTGACTGAAGTGACCTGAAATCCGATGGACATGGACTGTGTGAGCACATAACCCAGACACCATCACTGTGCAGGCTGTGAACCCAGGCACTGTGAACCTGAGCTGGATTTATGCTATCCTAGCATGTATCAAGTGTGAAAAAGGTAATATTTACCACAAATCTAACAGATTTACACAACTCTTTTTCAGTTCAAGACTCTGGCAGCTTCCCTTTACCCCTCTATAAAAAGATGGGTCCCACAAATATAAACCCCTATCACCAATGCACAAGAACAAACATAACAGTAAAGAGAAAACTCTCTTCTCTCTTGATTTGGGATGGATTTATCTTTTCTGTCATTGCCAGAGGCAAGCTGCACGTGCCACTGGATGCAGGAGCCTCCCCCTGACATCCTGGGGCTGGGATGTGCCTCCCCACTTTGGCATTGGCTGGTGTCAACAAACATCCGTGGGCTATTCCAGGGCAGAGGAGAAGGCAGAAAGGAGGAGGCACTCACGAGTGGCAGCGGGACATCAGCCTCCTGCAGCTCCTCTTCAGCCTGTCCCTCTTGGCAAAGGCCAGAGCAGCAGCCACGAGCAGGGGGAGCACCAGGAAGAAGAACACCAGCAGCCCATCGCGCAGAGAGGTGTCTTTGTCTGAGGGCACAGAACCATGGAGAAGAAATAAGCCTTACGTGGTGTCACCACCACCTGACTCACAACAGCAGAGAATATGAGGTAGGAATGGTTCTGTTTTCCATTTTTTATAGGAAAAAAACCAAAATAATCCAATAAGATAGATGCCCAAATAGATCCTTTCTGTTTGTCTTTTAGAGCTGGTACCCTGGGCTGCAGTAGCACATGAAATTAGGAGATCAATCCTCATTTTTCATGACTGTAATGTTTCATTACTGAAGGTTTTATGAGAGAGGAAAACAGAGCTTCTGCCTTTTTGGTGTGATGCTAAATCTACCTCTTCTCCAGACACTGTTTGCTGTAGACAAAGAACTTGGGTTCTTAATCTTGACATTTTTATATGCAGCAATTTCTCCCCTGCAGGCTGTGCTAAAACAGCCTTTCCCTTTTTCTGTCTGATGATTTGAGGCATCTGCCCAAGCTCCAGTGTGCTTCTCCAGCCTGTTATTGCATCAGAGTCCCTAGCTTTCCCAAACCCACACCAGCTTATGAAAAAACAGTCTTCAAGATCATTCTTGTAGCCCACAGAAGTTACACCAATCCCATTTTTATATACTCCACATGGACACGGCATCAGTTTTCTCCAGATTAGAGCTTGGCTCTGGCTTCCTGCTTCACCTTCAAACCCTCAGTGAGCAAAGCAAGCTTCCCAGCTCTGTCAGTTTGCTTTCTCTTGTGCAGGAATCATGATTCCCTTCACTGGTGCTTCCCTTCCCAGCCCAGATACAAAGAAGTCCAAGAGGATCTTTGTTCTGAGGTGGCAGAAATCACCTGAACTAAACCACTCCAGATCCTTACAGACCCCAGCATCCCAAACCAGAAGTGCAACACCTCGAGCAGAAAACCTCTGCCAGAATTCTTTGCCAGTGAAACCCAGTGCAGAACCATGCACCAAAGTTCACCAACACTTGGGCTGCCCTGGAGCACCCAGCCCTGCCCTCAGAGCCACTTGCCATTGTATGGAGGGCCACTGTCCACGCTGCCCCCGTAGCCTTTGGAGTCACAGAAAGGGGGGGCCCAGCCTGCTTCACAGTGGCAGTTCCTGTTGTTGTTGCACACCTGTATTCCAAAACACAAATACTCAGTAAAACTTCATTTCTGTGCATTTAAATCTGCTTGCAGCAGCCATGACCTGTTCTGTCCCTCGCACTGCTCAGCCTTGAGAATTTTACCCAGTAACTCCTTAGGCAATTCCAAACAGCCCTTGGCCAGGCATCCCAAGATTTCACATGACTGAGCACACACAGCACTGTTCAGGAAGAGCTTCCAAGGATTAGCTATCCCAACAGCTCACACACCATGGCTTTTGCTTGGTATTTTTTTTCCTTTGTGAGATGCAGAGTCAAATTTCATTAGCAATACTGGAATTGGGAATTCTTGCCTGGCAGAGAGTTTTGTCAAAAGATTTTTTTGACACTGCTACAGCTTCTCTTGCCTAGAGGCATTTTATAGAGAGTTTTACCGTTCGACAAAACAGAAAAATAAAGTTACTAATCACAATTTTAAAATTGCTGCCTCTCTTTCCTGCTTACCCCATGCCCGTGGCACTGCTTCTCCACGTCACAGTCGTAGTTCAGGACAGAGGCACTCACACACTGGAAATGCCTGCAGATCTGGGGAACAGAGATGCACACAGATGAGGGATGATGGCATTTCAGTGCCCTCTTGCCTGCCCAGATCCCTGCTCCTAGCCCACAGCCACGCTGTGCTTGCTGCCACAAAGCCTCGCACACTCTCACTGATAATTCCAAACTCTGCACAAACTCTGCTCCACAAAAGGCCTCTCAGCATGGGGCTGAGCTGGCACTGGAGCCTTTTGTCTCCAGTCTGAATGTAAAGGAACAGCAATTAAATTGTGCCCAGTAAGGACATGTGGAATGCACATTCCTCTGCTAGGGCTAAGCTTCTGCACTCTTTAGTTTAGTTGGATTTTAATTGAAAGTTTTAATTGAAAGTTGTCTTCGAGGCACTGGTGTGGGCTTGGCTCTTCCTGCTCATGACAGAGCAAAGTTTCTGGCTCTCAACAAACTCAATTTCTTTCGCTTCACCTACAAATGAAAGGCTCATTAAAGGTTTGATGCACGTGCAGTGCAGTACTGGGCAGTGGGGGGAATCAGTGGACTCATTTCACTTCACATTAACTACAGGCATCCAAAAATAATGGTCATAACTATTCATGAAACAGTGCAGCTGAAAATTTTATTCCCATGAATACCCCAAATTATTACATTAGGATATAATTTTTAAAAATTTTATTACCTTTCCATTTCCACACTTGGTGCCTTCATTCACCATTCCTGGGTCTGGGACATCAGAACCCAGCTGGAAATCCACCCCCCAGCATGTGGTGCCTCTGATGGGAGTTTGGATAATAGCAGGCTTGATTCCAAACACAGGCATGGCTTTCACATTTTCACACTGCAGCTTCCCACACATGGCATTCCTACAACAGCAACACAGGAACACTGTAGTGACACTTGAATTTATTCTGAGAACCAGACTACCATGTGTTTGATACGATCTTTCTACTTGAAGATGCTACTTGAAAACAAAATTGAGGCAACTTGACAAATAAAACTGAACTGGGCTTCATTCCAGTGCTGCAAGAGTAGTTTATCCCTTCTTTCTGTAAGCTGTTGGAATCTCTACATTAAGGAAAACGTGATGATTTGCTTCTCATCTTCCCATATGTGAACACTTAGGGAAAGCACAATCCTTGACAGGAGGTGTGGAACACTCTCCTCACCACAGCCCTGCACCCCTGCACTGTGCACCCCCTGCAACACCCCAAACTGACACCACAGCACCCAAACGCAGATTCCCAGCCATGTATTTCAGAACTTCAACACACTGGGCTCAACTCACCAGCTGGAACATTTCTTGTAGTCATGGCCATGGAAACCACAGTTGCCAAATCTGTCCCCCTTGGAATTCACTTCAGCAAAGCAAATGTTGGGAGCTGCTTTGGCTTCTGCAAACAACAGCACATCCCCAGAGAGAGGAGCCACGTTACCCAGGCACAGAAACATCTCACACAGGATCTCCTGCACCCAGAGCAACCACCCTGCTACACCAAGTATTTGCCACGCAGCAGCAAGCTTAGGAACTTGGTGAAAGCACTAAAGAGGTCACAATGTCAGAATCACAAGGTTCCAAGTCTAAAAATGGAGAAAAACAGTTACTTAACCTGAGTCAGTTCTAGCATTTGATATTTCTTTACAGATCTATAGAGCAGAAACCCCACTGTACCAGAAATTATAAGTGTAATAAAATTATGACTTGGATCCCCAGCACAGAACTAAATGTAACACAGGAAGAATGCACAACCATGATGTTAAACCATTACTACCCCTGCTCCAAAAACTCTGCCAAAGCCAGCTGGTCTCTTTAGTGACAAGCAAATAAATATATTTTAAATAAACTTAGCATATTCTTTAGTTACATCTCTTAGAAAGACTGTAACAGTGTGCCCTTCCTTACTGGAGCCAAAAATGTCCTGGCACTGAGCATCATAGTACTGGCACACGCCGTTGTAGCAGTAGGCCTCCTGGTTGTGGCAGGGGTGCCCGTTCTGCACCGTGAAGTCAGGCTGGCAGAACTGGGAGGTGCCATTGCAGTACTCCGGGAGGTCACACTCGTTGGTACTGGCACGACACTCTGTGCCTCCAGGAAGGAGCTGAGCAGAGAGGGGAGGGAAAATCACATCAGAAACAGGAACGTCACAGCAGAGACTGGTGCTGCACCTGACCCACGATACGCCCCAAACCAGGGACTGATCTGAATTCTGATCTGTGTGTCCTCGTGGGGCTGTGGGCACACAGGACAACTCCCTCTCACAGATGCACTGACTAAGCCAACACTCTCCTTTTCTCAACTTCCTAACCAGAGTCTCCTACCTGGCAGTTTTTGCAGCAGTCACCATAAGCACATTCAGCACCGGATCGGAGCCTGCAAGTTCCTGGCTCGCAGCACGGATCGCTTTCACATTCCTGAGGACACAAGGGTTGTGAATGACACAAAATCTCCCCCTCTGTCACAAACAGTCCCCTCTGAGCGGGGGGCACAAGACTGCCCTGGCACTGCTGGGAAAACACACAGCTACAAACCTTTGGTGAGCCACAGTCACACTCCTCCCCAGCATCCACCAGCTTGTTCCCGCAGTAGGGGACGCTGTAGGTCTCATCAGGCTTTGGCACGTTGAGCAGGCAGCTCCCACCTTTGTTGAGTGTCAGCTTCTCAAAGTCTTCTGCACTGCAGCTGCTGAAGTTCCTGGATCCCCTGCAATAGAGAAGATAAGCTGAGCTTTACACTAAGCCAAGCCAGCATCCCCCGGGAACACTTGCTTTCCCCATTACAAGCACAACAGGACTCTGTGCAAGGGGAATTTGAAGGTGATAGTAATCCAGAAAAACAAAGCACATGGATGGGGCATTTTGAGCCTTCTTTGCCTTCCCTTGGTCAGCTACTTACGATGCTCCAGAGCTCATAATGCAGCTGCTTGCCCCACAGTGACAGACTCGTTCGTCGTCATGGTTCATCCCCAGGTTGTGGCCGAGCTCGTGAGCCATGATGGAGGCAAACATCTGGATACTGATCCTTCCAAACTGCACAGGAGTGACACAGGAGGCAGTCAGCACAGAGCTTACACTGACAAAGTCAATGCTTACTTCTGTGCCAAGGAGACCCTTTTGCCATTCTGTCTCTACATTATCAGGATTCTCAGACCAACAGTGCTGCATTTCCAACCAAGTGCATGGAATTTGCTTAGCAGCAAGAGCCCTCAGAGAAACTCCTCTGGGACACTACCCAACAACCTCCACTTTCCAGAGCAGCTGCAACATTAACACAAAAACTAGAACTCTTCACACCAGCCCAATTCTCCTGAAATGTGCAAATTCCAGCACTTCTGTCACTGGTCCAAAGCCAGATTTCTGGGATTGTGAGTTATCTGAGACCAGCAGCTTGGTTCATTAAGGCTCTGCAGCTCCATATAAAATATGCAGTGAACCAGCACTGCTCAGGGAGGTCACAGCTGCAGGTCAGACACCACAGGAACACCCATAGCTCCCACTTTTGAGGCAGAGATGCTTAAAACAACACAGAAATCCTCTCTGAGAAATCCTTTTGCATGAGTACAGCACACTGAGCAGAGGAGAAGCTGAGCAGAAGACTACAGAGGAGTTGTGATCCAGATACCTTGGAAGTGTCAGAAATTGTTGGGGACAACATAAGAGCCCCACTAAGCCACTTCAGCTTTGCTATGAAAGACACTGTGTTTCCAGGAAGACTTTCAAAGTGCAAACTCTGACTTCAATCACATTCAGAGATCACTGAAGAAATCTCACCACGTTAATGCCTCCTGCATGGCTCTTGGAGCACACTGTTCCCACATAGGCCATTCCAGCTGTGCCACCAAAACCCTTCTTCCTGCAGTCACAAAGAGAAAGAAAAGGCCATCATCTGTCTGTACAGACACACAGAGTCCAGACCAGCACACCACTCCTGCCTGTGGGGCACAAACCCTGCTGCTCCAGCATTCCCAGGCTCACACAGGAGCACTGCTACTGACTGCAAGCACAAATGGCACCAGTTAAGCTTTTGTTGTCTGCTCAAGATTTCTTTACTCAGTTAATTTAAAACAAGTGTTTACAGAGAAAGTCAGCCTCTTCCACATCATCCCTCTGCATATAAGGAGCACAGGCACTACAGCTGTGAGGTGACTCTGGTGTTTTTGGGGTCTCCCCGACCCTGGCTGCTGTGGGTGCCCAAGACAGAGAAGACAATTAAGCACGACCTGTCCAGGCCCCTCAGGCAGGCTCCAGAGCCACAGGCAGTCTTAGCAAGCTCAGCTCTTAGTGATTATCAACTCATTAGTGATTTCAGCTCTTTAGCTTGCTAAATGCCTTTTGGCTGGGAGAGAGAGGAGAAGGCTGTATGAAGTTCCACAGAGATTCCTTATTGGGGTCTTCTGCAAAGATCTCAGGGACAGCTCTTCTGTCAAATTGGGCAAAAGTAGGGGTTTCTAAAGGGTACAGGAGTTTTGCACACTATCCAATGGTGAGGGTCGAGGTGAATGTGACCTATAATCTTACAGAGAGATAAAAAAGGGTCCAAGGGTGGAAGAGGGGGCTTCTTAGGTCCAGTCATCATGCCTAGGCATTTTCCATCTGATTAAAACATTCCTAGGCTTTTTTGGGAGATGTCTATCCTGGCTGAGAGAGTGACTTTGGGAGACATTTCTACCATGGCTGAACACCATGGAGGCATTGCAGGCCCCGTGCCTGCTCCACAGCTGGGCTGAGCAGGCAGCAGGGACAGAAAGCCCTTCCAGGGAGCAGAGGGAAGGAGCTGCACTCACAGCACAAACTGGGCGCTGTCGTGCCTCCGCCGCAGAACGAGGTTCTTCTCTCGCCACTGCACGAAATTGGCCAGCACGTCCCCAGCCCCACCATCCGTGCTGATGATGTTCTCGTGCTTCCAGATCTCCAGACCGACCAGCACGATGCGGATGTTCAACATCACGTACATCTGGGGAGAAAAAGGAGGAGAAATACTCATTGATATCACAGAATCACAGAATTTCTAGGTTGGAAGGGACCTTTAAGATCATCGAGTCCAACCCATGTTCTAACACCTCAACTAGGTCATGGCACTAAGTGCCACATCCAGTCTTTTTTTGAACACATCCAGGGATGGTGACTCCACCACATATCTTCAGACAAAAACAAGTGGCCTGGTGTTATGGATATTATTGCAAGCATCCATCTTTTCTGTGTGGGTTTGGATTTTTTTTTCACAGTTAGTACACAACTGGAACCACCAGAATGCATTTTCCCTGTGATTTAGACCTTTATTAGCTACAGGATCAATGCTTAAATGTCACACTGACTACATTGTAAGACAAGACCAAACAGAAATAAAAAGAAGTCTCAATTCTGACAAATACCATGTGAAATAGTGGAGTTACAGACATGCTTTTTCTCTAACCTTTACACAGACATAAGAATTGCAATAACTGCAACAATCTGTCCTGCCACTCACTGGATACAGCACAGGTTGGAAGAGTTTCCTAAACTAATTTTCAAGGTGGATAAGTGCAGATGAAGTGGAAAAGAATTTAGAGGTGGAAAAGCTTCCATGGGGATGCATTCCCCAAAGTGGTACCAGAACAGACCCCAAGGTGGACATTTCCAAAAGGCAGCAGGGCTCCAGCACACAGCATCCCTCCTACTCACACTGTCAAGGAAGTTTGCCAGCTGCACCATATGTTCTCTTACTTCTGTTTCACTCTTCCCAAAATCTTCAAACTGCAAGACAAAGAAACTTAGTTTCAGAAGAGAAGAGATAGAGACAACAGTTAGGAAAAGGAACAGAACATTTTTGCTTGGCTCCCAATCTCCAAGAAGATACAAACCAATTCAGCAACATTTTCACTGGTGCTGCTCAGCAGCTCAATATTCCAAAGACAACAGCAAAGGCAGTTTTTACCACATGCTTTCCTTACATTAGGAGATTCCTTGCTAACAGAACCTCTGCCTGTCTGATGGCTGATTCCTTTTCTGAGGAGGATTGCATTGCACACATTTATCCACTTCCAAGGTGGTATATTTGCACAACTTGGATAAATTGTCAAGTGTTTTTCAACAATCCATTTGGGAGTAATGAAACCCGAGGGCTTTCCAGGCCCTCTTCTGAGGAAAAGCCACACAGAACTCCCACCTTTTCTTTATCCACAACTATGAACAGCTCCACGTATCTTGTCTGGTGCAGGACCGCCCTCTTTCTCTGGGGAAAAAAAAAAAAAGTGTTTTAGACAACTTCAGATTTATTAATTCAAGTGTAAACAAAAAAAAAAACCCCTCATGACATTGTCATATTTCACTTGATACCACCAGTGGTTTGAGACACACCCAAAGCACACGGTGCCAAACCCAAGCAGTGTAATCCAATGCAATGAGAGTCTCTGTGTTTTAAACTAAAACTCAGCTGCACAAAGACTCTCCTTGTTTCAAAAGCAAAGGATCTCTGCACAGCTTGCTTTGGAAAGTCATCACACACTTTGATAAAGGGGCAAAAAGATTCTACCAGCAAATACCAATGACTTTGATGTGAAACACAACATTTTTTCAATCTTGTTCCTGTACAGACAGTCCTTGAAGGACAAGGGGGACTTCACACCAAACTGCTACTGTGATGGTGAGGAGGACAGAATAAACATGACAATATCCTGCCCTTAGAAGTCTCCCAAAAAAAGCCTAGGAATATTCTAACCAGCTGCCCCACCCTCACTGCCATGTGCAGAAGCAGGAGGAGACTGTGGCTGCTTTGGGGAAGAAACTGAGTTGTCCCACAGTGCAAACCCCCCAAATCATAAACCTTTAGGTATGTGCTAAGTCCCAGGAAATCTGATAAGCTGCTTGCACACTCTTAAATGAGCTCACAAAACCCCTTATGTGGGACTGGGGAGGACTTACCCGCAGCAGCTGGGTCATACTGGGATGGAGATCTCCCTCTGCATGTTCCCCTTCCTGGCCTCCAGTGGTTACTCCACACGCTGTGGGCTCTTTCTTCACATTATCCAGTCGATACAGAATGTGTTTAGAGCCAGAAGAGGGATCCATGGGCTCAATGCCATAGGTGACATTTCCTATTGTCACCAAACCCCTAAAATAAGGCAGTGTGTGAGAAATCTGGCACTGAGCACAGAGGACACTTACCCAAAATTTTTACAGCTAAACAAAGGAACAGTTATTCCTGGATAACCAAAGCCTGCCTATACCTCAGTTCTTGTCAACCAGCACACTTCACCTCAGGCCTGGCAGCAGCCTTTCACTGAGCAGGGCCTTACAAATGCAGGACATTAAATACCTCTGTAAGGCTCTGCAAAGCCCCAGGAATTACATCACAGGTCTTAAGCAGAAATGCTTTAGTTCAAATACATTATTGCCACTCTGGTGCCTGACATGACCCTGCACAAAAATCAATGGCACAGAATATATGGCAATTAGCCCAAAGTAGAAAATAATTCCATCAAACTTGAGGTGCATAAGGTTTAGGGCCAATTTTGTGAAATTTGGAGACTAGTGTTCAACATTCCACTTCTGCAATAGGTACAGTTGTCATGACTATCTGTGCAAGTTCAAAAATAAGCCAAATATGCATCAAAACCAACTTACTGCATTCTGGTAACAATCTGCATTAATAACTTATTTGATGGTACTTCAAATATCTGTGAAGTCCCTGAATAAAAGATGCCACAGCACAGCAGCACCAAGGCAGCTCAGTGCAGCCAGTGACTCCCTGTCAGAAGCAGCAGAACTGGGTTTTGGCTTCAGCAGCCACCAAGTGACAGCAGGGACACAAAGGAGGAGTTGTGCTACCTGAGCCCCGAGCAGGTGCTGACAGCCACCAGGGAATCCAGGGTGCCCTCCACGAACCCCTGATAATGGCAGTGATCCTGGACAGGAAAACAAGGGTGCATTACACACGTGTTTCAGGCATGTCTGCACAGCCAGGGCAACCCCTGATCTGCCACTGACCAGCAACTCAAGATTACAACTCAAGAACATGAAATGTATTCAGTTAAATTTACCACAGCTGGATTTCTTGACTTGATCTAGGCTATCCCTCTCCTGTTCTGTCCTCCACCCTGCCTCAAATATTTCCAGGCCAGCCCCTCCCTCCTGATTTGGGCCAAATTACTCTTCAGTCTTCTGGCAGAAAGTCCTGGCTTGTCTGTCACCTCTCTGTAGGAGGAGGAGGGACAGCACCTGCTGTGCACCCCACCCAGAGCTGTGCTGCCCTGGCACACGGGGCACTCTGCACATAGGAATTCTGGAAACTAGACAAGGGGTAGCATGGGGAATACACTCCATTTTCTCTGGCAAGGGCATCTTTAAGACACTGATATAGGGGTCTATAATACAGATTCTGTCCCCTGTTGCTGAGCAAGGAATGCAGAAAGTACAGAGGGCTTGTGCTAATTGTTCAGGGTGACTTCTGTGACCTAATGCTGAAAAAGCATTTTTCCTCTAACCAATCCCTTTTAACTAGGAAGCAAACAGTCACTTGACTCAGGTGCTCTATTTTCAAGAACAAGATCCTATGAATCATGTATGACTAATACTTCCCTTTCAAAGGAACAACACTGATCCCTAAGAGTGAAGCCATTAGGAAAGCTCTCTTGCATTTTGTACCACACAACCTGCTTTCAATTCTACATTTCCAAAGGCAACACATCAGGCAGGCTGCTTGTACAGAATGAGAGCTGCAAACATGCTTTCTGTGGAGTAACCCCAACACTGGAGAGCACATCCCTCCCAGAAGTCCTTCAGACTTGGTGCTTCCATGTTGTGAACACCCCATGTGTGGAGACGTGAGGCTTGACTCCATGTTTTCAGAAGGCTGGTTTATTATATTATAATATATATTATATTAAAATACTACATTAAAACCATACTAAAAGAATAGAGAGAAAAGATTATTAGAAGGCTAAAAAGAACAGGAACAGAACACATAACAAAATCTTGTGACTGCTCACAGCCTCGACACAAGTGGTTGTGATTGCTCATCAATTGAAAACAATCTACATAGACTAATAGAAAATGCACCTGTTGCATTCCACAGTAACAGACAGTTATTGTTTACATTTCTTTCTTGAGACTCTTCAGCTTCTCAGGAAGGAAAAATCCTAGCAAAGGATTTTTCATAAAATATTATAGCTACACTTCCATCCCTTCCAGCAGCACCCCAATAATGAGACACCAACAGCTGAGAGCAGCAGTGCCTTGTAGAGAGGAGCAGCTACTGAGGCAGCAGCCACCTCCACAGCAGAAAATACAGGTCTTTCACAGGTTAGAGCCTCATCCAAAATTAAGGATTCTCTCCAGGAAGAGGGCAGTGGGTACTGAAGGGAGCCCAGCAGAAAACAGAAGTATCCTTTTGTAATCCAAACTCCCTCATCCCACAGACGCTCTGTTCCAGTCACTCTCAGTGAGGGTATGAAGAGAAGGAAATCCTACCTGGACATCTGGATATTCCAGTTGCAACTTTCCCTCCTTGTCATAGGTATAAACTGTGAAATCTTTGGGCAGCAGTTCTCTGCAGTGACAGAGGACAAGGAATACAAGAGGAATTTCATGGAATGACTGTGACATTGGAACACAGCAGTAAGATGGCCCTAATCAAAAGTGTGACAAATATGTAAGTTGAAATTAAATCAGGAAACATTAAAAAGGAAAACCCTCCACAATTAACAAAGAAATGGTATATTTTCACAGCAAAATTCAAGAGAGAAGAACGGTAGAACTGCTAATGAAATCAAACAAAACACCTCACCTCAGAGAGAGTAGAACAAGCAGCAAAACCCATTAAATTGTGCTAAAAGCCTGCTTCCAAGCAGGAAAAAGAAATTCTAGCCCTCAGTCTGCTGCACATGCCTTCTCCTCCCCAGATTGAGGAGGAAGTACATTGGAAAGTCTCCCACGACTCAGACTGCTGCACCATCCTGGTAATTCCATTGATGTGGTGCAGCTAAATTCCCACGTTTCTGAGGGTCAGGGCCTTGGCAAGTGGCAGCTGGAGCTCCCCAAGGGCTTGCACACTTGTGTCTCTATCACAAGGGCAGTTTGGCCAGCAGTGGCCTGGTAAATGACCATGTGCTGGTGCTGCCCTTAAACCCCAGGCAGGCAGAGTCTGGATCAGCTGTGAGGTCTCAGTATTCAGACCTTGGAGAGAGTCAGTTTCCTCATTTATTAGTGTCCTTGTGCTACTGAGACAGGAAAAAACACAAAACTAAAGCAATAAACAAGATCCAGACAAAAGTGAAAATATTTACTTGAAACACAGATCAGCTCGTTTATTTTTAGCTGTGAATAGAAAGAGTTGTAGATTCCCTGGGTCTCCTCGGAGTAATTTGCAGCTTCCTGCTCTGAAGGGGGTTCCCCAGGGCTGCAGGAATCAAAAAACATCTCTGGCTGATGGCCAGGACACCAGGACTCAATCTCTTCACAGTAATTTGAGTAATTGAATAATTTAAAGAAATTCATCACTTACTTGTTCTTTTCTAGATGAATGGTGTATTCTTTTCCCTCAATCTCAATAGCATATGACACCTTGTCCTGAATATAAAAAAAAGTGCATTTTACTCATGTTAATGAATGAAACAGTCTTTGAAACCAACAATGGTGGTCTGAAATTTATTTTATAATTGTCCCTGCCTCGAGAACTCAGCATCCCTTCCTGTGTGACTGGGGAAAAATGCCATGAAGGAAATGGTTTCAAAACAAAAATGTGGTTTTCTTGTCCTTTCCTTCTAAAACTTCCACAGAAATTTCCAAGTCAGAGACAGAAAAGGACAACACATGATGCAAGTTTTACACCCAGATTAAAAATCCACTGCAGCAACTCCTGACCTCAGGAGGAGGGAGGTACTCCTGTCCCTCAGCTGCCAGCAGTGCCAGAGGTGATGCTCCCTGCAAAAACAGACATTTCCCTGCTGCCAGGTGCATCCAGCAGCATCCCACGGGCATTTCAGGTCAGTTTAGGGCAGACTTTATTGGGAAGCAGATGCTGAACTGAAGATGTGTCTCAGAGTGCCCAGTACCTGTATGGAGGAGCTGTTGGAAGCCTCTCGTCGTTCTCTTCCCAATCTCTGTGGAGTTACAACTTCGTAGGAAGTGAGCAGGGAAATCTCCTGGAAACCTGGAGAGCAGAACAGGAACACTGGCTAAAGGAACAAAGCAACCAAGAGGATGAAGCACAAGGAAGAAAACACCACTTCAGGAAAAGCCCACACACAGAAGAGCACAGAGCAAAGCACACTTGGATTGCCTTGCAAGGGGCCAGAGAAAACAACACACAAATACCAGAGGAGACACCAATTTTTCCAGGAAGTTTCAAATTGACATCATCACATTCCAAATAGTGTCTTACCAGCACCCATCTCATGGTACCAGTACCACCTCCCTTCATCAGCAGAATCAGCACTTAAGGCAGCTCAGCACAGCAAGGACTCACTCAGGGATGCCCAGGGTCAAACCAAGTGTCCTGCAAAGCTGCAGAGCTGCCCCGTGCAGCCTCTCTCAAGGAGCTCCAGCAGCTCCTGCTCTTCCCCCGGCACAGCTCAGCCTCACACCCTGGCCTGCACACACAGCCAAACAGCCCTGAGGCTGGTGCTACTATTTATTATGCTTTTAGAGAGCTCCCAAGGGCCTCATCAAAACAATTGAGGTGAGACAAATCCCTACAAAAAAGAAGCTGCTCCAGATCCCTTTATATATTATTTGCATGTGCAACATCAGACAGATCCCCTGAACCAAACAAGTCCACAGTCCAAGCTCCCTTTATCAGTTTTTGCAAGCTGTTTTATATAAACTATGTAAACAACAATAAATTGTGCATGCAAATTACTTTTCCCATCAGTGGTGGCATCTGCTGGTGCCTGGCTCGCAGCTGCTCACCCAGGAAGCAGGAGGTTGGCCAAGCCAGATCACAGGCAGCAGCCAGAAAAATAGTTTTCCTGGCTCATGGCAAGGGAATCAATGAGCTCATCAGAGGAGTCTGAGCTCCCCAAGAAAGGCAGGGGGAAGGGAACAGTTATCCTCACTGTCTGTCTCCAGAAATCATCACCACATCTAGGGCAGGCGAGCGAGTGTTTGGTGTCCAAGACCCTCCAAAAATCTCTCAAGTGGGACTGAGATGCTGCATGCAGTTCCACCCAGCCCCTCTGAGCACACCAAAACTCACACTCCATCTCCAAAGGACTTTGTACTTCTCTAAGCTGCAGGACAGCACTGTGAGCTCAAAGCCTCCATGAGAGGCCTGCTCCATCCTTTGGAAAATGGGCAGGCTTTAAATGCCAGGGGTTCAAAAAGCACCAGGCTGCAGTGGCACTCAGGCTCCTCCAGATGCCTTCCCCTGCTCTTCCCACCCCTGGCAAGCTGACACACACCATCATCACCTCGGGGGAGCACTCAGAAAGGCATCCTGAGGAAAAAGCAAGCCCCTTGCCCACTCTTCCCACCACCATCCCCAAAGAACAAGCCAGCAGATCACTGCCAGCTTCCCTCCTGTCACAGCACACGTGGCCATGGCAGGAGGCCTCAGAAGCACTGTGCTGTCCTGGCCTGTCACACAGCATTTCTGTCACAGGCACAGCCACACTGCTTCTCAGAGCTCACACAGGGCACAGACTGCAGCAGAACTTTCATTACTGTGGTGTTTGTAGATAAAAAGTATTAAAAAAGCAGAGATAAAATTCCTGAAAACAGCCCCTGACATTCACTGGCTACAGAACACAGTGCCAGTACCTCCCTGGCCTGAAAACAAGGGAGGGAAGGGCTGCTTCCTTCCCTGGAATGAACCACCAAAAGCACACACTGCAGCAATCACTTCTGTCCATTTGTCATTCCCAGCCACACTCGTAGGCAGCCTGAGCTCCTGCTCTGCACTTGTCCCATCCCCAGTGCCCTTCCCACCCTCAGCAGAGGGGATGGGACACTCGGGCCAGGCTCTGCAGGCTCTGGAGGCACAGGTGACACAAACAGCAGGGCACAGCCAGCCTTGGCAGGGCTTGGAACACACACGTTTGCCCAAGAGCAGCTTGGACGCAGAAAATAAGTCAATGAATCATCACATGAAGCAGAACTGGGAGGGATTTCTGGGAAGAGAACAACTCCAAGAGGATCCTCTTAGAGCAACAGCACTAAAAGTGGCCAGCTTTCAAGTCTCTGAATGCTCTGACAATTCTCTCCCCACTTTCTGCCCTCCCTCCCATCCTTCACCCCTCTGCTTTGGGAGGTGATGGGGGTGGGAGTCTCCAGCAGGCATGTCCCTGGCACTGCCCCTCACTTCCCAAGGAAGCTGCTTCCATGCCCTGTGCAGCATTTCACACATCACCAGCAACTCTCAGACCTGACAATTCTCTCCCCACTTCCTGCCCTCCCTCCCATCCTTCACCCCTCTGCTTTGGGAGGTGATGGGGGTGGGAGTCTCCAGCAGGCATGTCCCTGGCACTGCCCCTCACTTCCCAAGGAAGCTGCTTCCATGCCCAGTGCCCTGTGCAGCATTTCACACACCACCAGCAACTCTCAGAGAGGGCACAGAGCAGTTCAACAAAAATCCAACTCAAGGGACAAGTGCAGCCAAGCAGGAAGCCAACCCTGCCCCCACATTTTCCTTCTACAAAGGCCAGGTAGAGTTTGGAATCAATTTTTCAGCAAGTTACAGGAGTTCTAATAGTCAGGTGCTTTCTGGCACTGCTGGAGCTGTACCACGTCACTGCTGAGGACATGACATGCTGATGACCCATTTCCGTGCTGAGATTTTGTTTCCCATCAGAAAAACACAACTGCATCCATGACTATATTTATCTCTCTCATTACAGGCTGCCATTAATTACCAAGCATTGGAGACAACTAGGAAGATGTGATTCATCTTCCCCTCCCCACCCCAAATCCACCATAGGAATTCCATGCATGCTTCATGGCATGTGGGAGCTTGAAAACCACTGGAACACATCACAGCCATAAGGACTCTCCAGACACTGAGGGAAGCTCTGGGGGTGTTCAGGTGTTCTGGGGGTGCCTGACAGGTAAGACCTGCATTCAGCAGAGGTCAGACTGCATCCCCTGTCTTGCTAGACCTTGGCATGCCCATGGGTCGTTGGCTCAGTTACAGAATCACAGCACACAGCTACATCCACCTACTCACTCACCCTTCCCCTCAATTTCCATCCTTCCTGAGCTGTGACTCCTTCCCAAGCCTAGCAACAGAAGGTCAAAGATACACTCTTCAACGGAAGAAAAAAAATTAAGAAGAGGAAAGTTCAGACTGTGGCCTGTAACACCACAAAACAAGCTAATTTCATAAAAACAACTCATCAGCATGTGAGCAGGTCAGCAGCTAAAATCAAAATTCATTAAGTTAACTGCAGTTATCATCAATTGATTACAATTAATAGCTGAGGTCAGCTGCACGAGTCATTCCACACTTTGGCAGAGGATTGCTCACCAGAAGTGCCAAAGGCATTACACAGCCATCCAGCCCACCAGGACCAGTTCCACATGGAGCATCTCCACCGAGCATTCCTGAGCCCAACAATCAGCTCCTTGTGCTTCAAGCTGCACCTCTGAGCCCCAGAGCAGGGCAGCCATTCACCCCCTTCCCCCCAGCTCCACATCTTTAGATTCCCAGTGTGCCTGCCTCTCCTTTCCTAAGGAGCATCAACATTCAGTATGTCCTTACACCTCTGCCTGGTCATATCAGGCTGTTCTGGCTCCACTCTCCAGGTACACCGATCCCAAAAAGCCCCAGAACAGGACACAACAGCCCAGTGAGGCCTCACACACACCAATGCACACGTGCTGTGTGTGTTTATGGATTTCCACAGTTAAACTCACCTTCAAAACAGACAGCACATGTCGGATCCACTTGGCATTTAACCTGCTCTGACACTCATTTCCTTTCCTGCCAACATGCTCCTGCTCCCCATTTTTCACCCTCTCATACTTGTACAATTATTTCCACCTCAGCAGAACATTCTGTACCATCCTTTCAAAGCCACTTATTTCTGACAGGTACTTCTCTCGTGCTCAGATCACTGGGATTGCTATCCCAGTCTTTATGGAGCCTGAATCCCATCTGACTGGGAGGTACCAGCTGCCAGCTCAATCTGCATTCTCCATATCCTATTTTCAGAATCATACAGGAGTTTGCCAAGCAGTGTCTGAGGAGAAACTTCATGACCTGGCTTACTTACATATGTCCTTCAAAACAACAGAACCACTGCTGGTGGATTTCTCCAGGCAATGACACACCAGGAAAAGCATTTTTTTGGTGCACTTGACTTTTGCACTGAGGTCACAGCTGAAGTAGGATTTACTCTTTGGAGTACTGCAAGCAAAAACCTCCTTCACTTTCACTATGCAAATATTATCCAAGTCCACTTAAAAATGTTTAGAGGTTTACAAAAAACACAAAGATAGCAAGTCTTCTTCTAAATGCAGCGATGTTTTCTGTGGAGCCAGCAGCTCCAGCTCCTTCCAAACCTCAAACACTAAAGAGTGCCTCAGTGGTGTTTCATTCCAAACACCTGGGAACATCTGGCCAGCTGTTCTACAGGCACCACTCCTTGGGACTTTTCTTTCCACCTCTCCCTCCCCTGCTCTCAGTCTTCAGACCTGCTGGGTCTCCTGCTGTGCCAGTGCCTTTGAGGAGGCAGGAAGAGATGACCAATTCTCATGGCAAGAGAAGCAAATTCCTCTGTATGTATTGCTCACCTGGAATATTTGTATAACATTAAACCTGGCCAGAGCAGTTCATGAAGTTTCTTTTGGTATTTCACTGGGGATGTTGGATGTTGATCAGGTTACGGAGCTCTTCCACAGAAATATTTCCTAGAAAATTCTTACACCCCTTGCTGAAATCCAGACCTATGCTGTAAGTGTTTCCTGTCTAGACTCTCCCCATTCCTTCTGCCCTTCCTAAAGCCTAACTTGTCTGCAAGACAACAGCTCCCCTTGTTCTACAAAAAGGACTGTCACAAGTGTCCAGTGGTACTGTCACCACATCCTCTGCACCTCGGAGCCTTCTCACAAGGAGAAGCAGGGTAAAGTTATGCTGTGTGCAGCAAGATGAACCCTCCTGGGGGTCACTGGCCCTGAGTCACTCCCTTTCACCCACGGCAGTGTGCCCATGGACAGGGGCTGAGCGTGCTGAGCCCACTCACTTCCTCCCCATCTCACCAGCTGTGAACGCCAGCTCTGCTTTCTCAGCTGACTCCGTGGGAAGCTTCTCCTTGGAGACATCACTGGCTTTACATCTGGCCACCAAAGGGAACTGTGAAATGCACATTCTTACCTTTTTTTGATTTTTAGCTTGTGAAATAATAATGATCAAGACATGCAGGAACTCTAAAGTCATGGTCCTAACTTCCTTTTCCAAAAGCAAGGCATTACAAGAGGCAATGTTAGCCACACTGAAATTCTTTCCTCTCTTTCCTTTTCACATGGAGGAAATAACCACAAACTCACTCTTTGCTGAATGACTGTCCCAGATTTGTTGCAATATGGGTGAGGCAGTGCTGTGTTTTCTGTGATCTGAACAAAAGAATTATCTTAACTAAACACCCTATCTCCCCAGAAATTTGATCCCAAGCTTTTAGACATTTCAAAAATTGTGGTCAAACCTGGCTGGAACATCCTGGTGTGTGTATCAAGAAAGAGATGGAGTAGCACAAAGCAATGTCTGCCTGTGATTTTTTTTTTAATCCATATAGTCAAATCTTGAAGGCTCCTATGGACACAAACAGGAGAGGGAAAGCCACACACACAAATCCCTTAAGGCTACACACCACTATGTGATTATGGTCATTCAGGAATTTTCAGATAATAATTTCTGGTAACACTCCACTTGTGCCTTACATCTCTATGTGTGTCAAAAGCACCAACATTACAACCCAAGAGCTGGAGGTTTCTACCCTCTCCTTCATATTGATACTCAGGCAAGGGAGGTTTGTTGTATTTCATGGAAGGTTTGGCATTAATAGCTGGGACAGAGTTACAAAGGCAGAAAGGAACACTACCATCCATCATCAGGAACTGGCACCAGTGTTTCTTTCCTACAGGCAGGAACTAAAATCTTATTCCTAAAACACCAAGCACCCCACCGGAAGCACAAGCACCTGACATCTCAGAGATGCATAATTCCAGGCATCACACTCAGCCTCCTCAGTCAGGCAGCTCCCAAGGTGCTGCACCACCTCTCAAAGCTGACTTTCACCTCACACAGCTCACACACCCTCCAGCAACAACGCAGCAAGTGAGAGGAAGAGATTCCAGCACAGAATCCCTCAGGGAGAGGCACACACCACATAAGCACTGTCCTCAGCACGAAGCACCGGTATCAAGTTGTATATTCCTCAGCTGGGAAGACCTGGCTACAAAAACACGCATTAATGACAGACACAAAAGTTTTACACAGTGCACGTGTCCCTTCAGGAGGGGGAAACAATGACAGAGGAGACATTTCTGTCATGTATGCATAGCCTTGAATCAGCACCGTAAATAAACAGAACCATCTCAATTCATGAACAGTCCCTAAGGACAGCACAGGACCAGCTCCTTAGAAGTCATGCAGAATGATGGCACTGAGTCCTGCCCTCCCTCCCTCTGTGCAGCTCTGCTCCACACCCGAGCTCCTGGATGGCCAAGGCCACCTGCACTGACCGGGCAGCCCTGCATCCCTGCTTTGCCGGGGGGCTTTACCTCCTGCTCCGCAAGAGCCGCGCAGAGCTCCCGGGACAGCACGGCCGGAGCTGACACGGGAGGATGGAGGAGCAAAGAGCCACGGGACACCTGCGAGCTCGGGCAGGCGTGCCGGGACCCGAGGCCACTGCCGGGATCAGCTCCCATCTGGAGCTCCATGGGCCCCACACCGGAGCTCCATGGGCACCACACCGGAGCCCCATTGTCCCAGGATCAGCTCCCATCTGGAGCTCCATGGGCCCTAAACCGGAGCCCCGCTGTCCCAGGATTACCTCCCGTCTGGAGCTCCATGGTCCCCACACGGGAACCCCTCTGTCCCGGGATCAGCTCCCATCTGGAGCTCCATGGGCCCCACACTGGAGCTCCATGGTCCCGGGATCAGCTCCCGTCTGGAGCTCCATGGGCCCTAAACCAGAGCTCCATGGTCCCGGGATCAGCTCCTGTCTGGAGCTCCATGGGCCCCACACCGGAGCCCCGCTGTCCCGCCGGGCCCTCGGCAGCATCCCTGAGAGGAGCACGCTGGCACTGGCGATGCTGGGCAGGGCACAGGTGGTGCTGCCACCCACACGCCCTCCAGCTGGCAGCCGCCACCGCCGGGCACCGCCGCGGGGCACACGGGGCCAGCGGGCAGGACCCCCGCTCTGGCCAAGCCGCGGGGGGCTCTGCCCCACCGGACCCTTCGAGGGCAGGGGAGGGGAAGCGGCTGCCCCAGGGAGGGGTGACAAGGGGGGCCCGACCCTCCGGAGGGGATGGGGAAGGGGGAACGGCGCTGTCCGGGAAAGGGAGCGGGGGCCGAGCGGGCTGCGGGCGGCAGGCCCGGCCCGGCCCCGCGCACTCACCCGCGGGCTGCCCGGGCGCGGCCGGCGGCGGCAGGAGGAAGATGAGGAAGATGAGGAAGATGAGGAGGCGACAGAGGCAGCTCCAGGCCCGGGCCATGACACCCCCTGCCCACATCGCCCCTCCCGTGGGGCGCTGGGTCCGGCCGGCGGCCCCGCGGCCTTATGGAGCCGGGCCGGGGCCTGCGCTGCGCCGCCCCGGGGCGGAGCCGTGCGCCCGACCGCCCGCCCCGGGCCGACCGCCCCGCAAGGACCGGCACGGCCCCGGGACCGACCGCCCCGCACGGACCGGCAGGGCCCGGCACGGCCCCGGGGACCCAGCATAGACCTGGGCACCGGCACCGCCCCGCAAGGACCGGCACGGCCCCGGGACCGACCGCCCGCCCCGGGACCGAGCACGGACCCGGGCATCGGCACCGCCCCGGCACGGCCCGGACAGGGACGGGAAGAGCCTCTACCAAAAGCGCTGGGGTCCCGAAGGAAACGCCCGCAAAGGGAGCTGGTGTCAGCGCAGACTGCGGCCAGCGCGGCTCTGCTGGCCTTGCCTGCCGAAAAGCTGCGCTGCACACTGGAAGCGCAGAACCGTGGAATATCCTGAGCTGGAAAGGGACCACAGCGATCGTCAAGTCCCACTTCCAGCCCTGCACAGATATCCCAACAATCCCACCCTGTGCATCCTTGGGAGCGTTGGCCAAACCCTCCTGGAGCTCTGGCAGCCTCGGGGCTGTGACCCGTTTCTCGGGAACCTGTTCAGTGCCCGTCAAAGGGAAAGAACCTTTTCATAATGTGTTGGAAGCACATGAGAACACACCACGTCAGCCCCTGGCTGGGCAATACCACAGGTACAGGTGAGCAGGAGAAACTCCCCAGGATGAGAAGGCATCACAGCTTTGCCCTCCACTACAAGCACCAGGCATACTGCCCTGCTCCACCAACCGCCCGTGGACAACCTGCCAGGGCAACTTCGGAGCTCTGCATCATCCTCCGGAAAAATCAGGAACAAACCCTTCACACTGGGAGCAAGTAATGGCAAAGTGGAGCCAATTTACTATGGAAAAGAGCACAAATGCACCCGAACCTAGACTGCCTCCCATTCCCACAGGGCGGGGTGGCGCTGGGGAGAGCCGCGCAGCACAACGGCCAGCTCGGGCGGAACCAGTGGCTGCTGTGGCCGCTGAGCCGCCGCGCTGCCCGTTACCGGCAACACAGGCCCCTGAGAGCCCTTCTCCGGTGCTAAGGGTGTCCGCTCTTCGGGTGAGCGCGGCGGGCGCGCCCCGAGGGAGGGGTCCCCGAGGAAGAGGTCTCCGAGGGAGAGGTGTCCGAGTCCCGGTTGGGCTCCGGCCGGGCCCCGTTTGCCCCGGTGCGGCCCCGGGATTCGGCCCCGGGATTCGGTCCCGAGCACCGCACCAGCGCCCCGCCCCCCGCCTTCGCCCATTGGCCGCCAGCCCTCCCCGGCAGCCAATCATCTCCTCGCCTGGCGCGCACTCCCTCCGCCACGGCCTTCGCTGCCGCTGCCGCAGCTTTTTCCGCTTCGCTCTGACCGGCTGCGAGCGGCGAGCGCCCATTGGCTACAGGCGGCCGGGGCGGTGCGGCGGCGGGCACCCATTGGCTGCAGGCGGCGGAGGCGGTGCGGCGGCGGGCACCCATTGGCTGCGGGCGGTGCGGCCCGAGGCCGAGCGGGGCGGCGGTGCCGCCATGGCGCCGCCCGTGGGGTACGCGCTGCTGTGCGGGCAGGCCGCGCTCCTCCTCGGGAACCTGCTGCTCCTGCACGGCCGCGGCCTCCCGGATAACGATACCGAATCCCGGGAGCTGCCGCCGGGGCCGCCCGCCGCCGCCTGGGCTTACAGCGATCCGCGGGCGCCGCTCGTCCTGTGCACCTACCTGTGAGCGCCGGGCCGGGGCGGGGGAAGCGCGGCCTGCCGGCCTCCCTCACCAGCCGCTCCTTCCCCGCAGCCCCGATGAGTTCGTGGAGTGCGAGGAGCCGGTGGACCACGGCGGGAACGCCACGGCACAGCAGGAGCTGGGCCACGGCTGCGTGAAGGTGAGGGCGGGGCGGGGGCGGCCCCGGTGGCGGCGCCCCCCGGGCCCCGCCGAGCGCTGAGCGCTGCCCCCGCCGCAGTTCGGCGGCCAGGCCCACGGCGAGGTGGATCACACGCGTGTGCAGTGCCGGGCGCTGGACGGCATCGAGTGCGCCGAGCCGCGGAGCTTCCTGCGGGGCAGCCGGCCCTGCGTCAAGTAGGAGAGTCCCTGTCCCCCCGCAGCCACCGGACCGAACCCCCCGCGAGCGGGGCTGGTCCGGCGGGGAGCGCTGACACTCCCTGACCCCGCCGCGTCTTCTCTCGCAGGTACACGGGACACTACTTCATCACCACTCTGCTCTACTCCTTCTTCCTGGGCTGCTTCGGAGTGGATCGGTTCTGCCTGGGCCACACCGGCACCGCCGTGGGGAAGCTGCTGACCCTGGGGGGCCTGGGCATCTGGTGGTTTGTGGATCTGATTCTGCTGATCACCGGGGGGCTGATGCCCAGTGATGGCAGCAACTGGTGCACCGTGTACTGAGGAGGGGCAGGGCTGGCCCCAGCTGCAGCCCCTGGGTGCCTCTGCTCGCTCCCAGCTCCAGCTCAGGCTCTGCTTGGCACAACATGGACTTACAGAACTGTGACTCAGGGTGCACAGCAGTTACTCTTGGTAATGACTCTGTACCAACCTTGGACACAAAGTTGTTCAGGATATATTTTGCTTGTTTAAAATAATCTGGCTTCCCACTGCAAATAGTGACAGCTTCAGAAATCAGAGCTTGAGAACACAGGGGGTCAAACAAACAATAAAATCTGGAAGAAGCTGACTGCATGTACTTTGGGGATTAGTAGATCACAGCCACACAGAGATGAAGGCCGTGGGGTCACGGTCTAGCCCTGAGTCCCCCCAGCCAGCCCATTAATCCAGAGTCCCGAGCCCTGGTTACCTTGGGGTCATGGGCCATCTGGGAGCAGTCAGGGAGCTGGGAAAGAGGCAGAGCTGCCATGGGGCAGCTCCTGTCTGTGTGCCAGGCACCCCTCTGGCTCCAGCCCCAGCACAGGGCACCTACAGCACCCAAAGAGTGCAAGAATCTCACACCCAAAAGAGGAAGCCCCACCAGCTGCAGGTTAAAAACTTACCAAGCTGAATAAAATGGGAAAGGGAAGCTGCAACGAGTCCCAGCCAGAGCCAGACACAAAATCTGTGTATGCAAATGTCCAGTCATATTTGAGATAAAACAGCAAACACACACAAACTCCCAAGTTTGGCAGCTTCAACTGGGGGGGCAGGGGGCAGCTTTGTCCTGAAAATGCCATTCCTCAGCAGAACAGCAGGGCTGGAAAGCCCATGGAGGGGAAAAAGTTCTGCAGTGACCCAGAAAGAAAAAAAACCAGAACAATCCCACGTGCACTGTCGTTAACAGCTCCCATGTCTCCAGCCCCCCACTGCCAGCTCACAGCAGGACCTTGGTCCAGCAGCTTCTCTCCTCCCCAGGGAACATCTGGGACCTTGTTCCAGAAGGAGTTGTGATGTCCCTGCCCTCACCGTGCACTGTTCCCTCCTTGTGCAGGGCAGCAGCACCGTGAGCACGGGGAGCAGCCACTGGTGCTCCCAGGGTCTCCCCAGCTGCTGCACCCTGTCCCCCCACCCTGGTGGGCACAGCATTCAACCCCCACGGCAGCCCTTACCCAAAACACACAGTGCAGATGGACAGCTGGGGAAAATAACCGGGATTTCCTTCTTTATTTAAAAACACGGGGGAGAAAGGGCATTGCAGCATGTACAGGCGAGGGGTGGGAGGCAGGTAGCCCCCACCCCGGGAGTCACAGAGGGCCCCAGCCCTAAGAGCACTTGGAATCTCCAGCCAGCACCTCCAGAAACATCTGGAACCACGTGGGAATAGCAAACCCCTCTCTCCCACCACTCTGCCCCCCACAAGGCACCCCAAATGTGCAGCACCCCCAGCCCCACAGCACACGACTCAGGAGGGAGCAGCTCCGGGGGGGTGAGACCATCCACGCCTGAGCCAGGAGCCAACACAGAGCTGAGGGGAACCAGTTTGCTTTAAAATCACCACAAAGCTCCATCGAGGTCTGGCTGCATCCACCCAGCCCTCTGGAACGGGAGGGAAATCCCTCCCTCCCAACACCACCTGTGTTGTGGACAGCTCTGGAGCCCAGCTGAGCTCCACACTTGTTTGAACCTCACCTGCAGCCTCTGTGCTGTCCTGGGGATGCAGGAGGGTGGGAACGAGCAAAAGGAATGTTGCAATAGTGCTGGAGCCACTGGTAGTTTCTGCTCCTGCATAATTACCTTAATTGTGCAACAAGCTTCTGCTTTACCTTCCCAGGCCTGAGGAAACTGTGCAATTATCAAGCACCAGGAATACTCAGGAGTCTGTGGTTCCAAGGCCTTGCACAAAAGAACCATCATCCCTCTGCATTCCCTGCTCTCCAAAACTGAGACTCTCTGATGGGTGGGCTTGCCAAACTACTGAAAACATTCTTGAAACAGTGTTAGGAGCCAAACAGCAAGTCAGTCTAAAAAAATGAAAGTTTCAAACTCTAGTGCAAATAAAGCAAAAAGGAGCAGAAAAAGGAAGAGCAGGATCTAGGTAGCTACAATTAAATAATATTAACACTCGCCCTGTACCGTTTGCATCGATTCCCACTCATTTTCATGGTCTCTGTGTCCTCCAGCACCTCCACACAATCCCCTTTGAGACCCTCTTCCCCCTGAACTTGGGAGACCCCATTCCTGCCTCCCCCAGTGGCACAGAGGTACCTGTGCTGTGCCCATCCCACAGCAGCCCCACAGGCACCGAGGCAGGAAGGTACAGCTGGCATCACATTAAGGTCAGTCAGGCTAGTCAAGGCTCAGGCACAGCTGTCAAACAGCTGGAGGCCCCAAAAGGGCTGGGACAAACCACATGTTCTGCTCCCAGGGAACACACTGGGCTGAGCTTGCAGAGCAGAGGACGTGTCACAGCCAGGGAAGGGAGAGGAGAGCTGAGTTCTCGCTCGGCACGCGGGGATTGCACACACTTGTGGGGATTGCACACACTTGTGGGGATTGCACACACTTGTGGGGATTGCACACACTTGTGGGGTGAAGGTATCAGACAATCTCTGCCGAGGGAACACCTGGATTTTCTACACACTATTTATCACACCTACAGGAGCTCATTAGGTTATGGAAATGACGATTCACATTGCTCTAGAAACTCCTGCTGGTTTCCATCTCGGGCAGGCAGGGGGTGAGTTGGCCGGGCAAGTCTGCCCAGCTCCATCATGGCTGGTTTTCATTGCTTTTTACTAAAAGCCCTTCACCATCTGGCACGGCTACCTGTGCCCTGGTGTGTGCAGTGCAAAACTAACATCACACCTGAGGGTGCTCCCACCTGGGAGCCACGGTGGCTCCAGCTGCCTACCCTGGCTCATGCTCAGGAAGTACCAAAAGCCTTTGGAGGGGCTGAGTATCTGCCCAGGCTGGGGTTCAACAGGAGCCACAGGTATAAAAAGACATAATTAAAAGCCAGCAGATTGCTGATAAACCCTTGTGTGGGCAGTGGGAAGATTTCAGAGGGAATAAGTCACCATAAGGGGAAGCTGCAGTGAGTCCCCTGTGTGGGCAGCTGCAGGCTGGTGGCTCCCAGCTCTGCCCTGGGGAATCTGAGCAGCAGCAAAGGGGAGAGAAACATTTTACAAACACAAGAAAGGCCACACTCCCCCTCACTCCTTCAAGACCTCCTGCCACTTCCTCCAGACCTGGTTTGTGGGGGAAACGATGCAATTGCAGAAGATGTCCCCTCGTACAGGTCCCCAGCATCTCCTGCCCTGCACAGTGCGCGCCGGCAGTGCCTGGAAGCACCTTCCAAGACATGGAAGCACTGGGGCCAGGCCTGGGCAGGAGCAGCCAGGGACCCTGTGGTGGGGTGGTGCACCCTGTGTGGACGTGGCTGCGGACGGATCCCGCGTCGCAGGGAAGAGCTGTGGCGGAGGGAAGGAACCACCTGGCGTGCCCCAAACCGCCCCACAGGGATCCGGGGAGGCGGCGTGCGGAGCCGGGGGTGGCTCGCTGCTCTCTCAGACGTCGGAGGTCCGGATACTTTCATCATCCAGGTCGAAGGCGAACGGCTTCTCCTTGAGGTGCTGCGGCTCGGAGCGGTGCCGCAGGCGCGTGCCGGGCGCGGCCCTGCCCTGGCGCTCCGTGAGCGCCGGCACGAACACCGAGTCCCTGAGCGGGGCTGGCAGCCCCCCCAGCGCCGGCCGCTGCCCCTCGGCCTGCGGCACCGGCGTCCAGGGCTGCCAGGAGCTCGTGGACGGCGCCTTGCACGACGCTCGCCGCTCCTCCGCCGAAGGCCGCGGCTGCGAGGGGCCCGAGGAGCCGCCGGGCCTGGCCACGGAGGTGGATCTCATAAAGGACATCTCCTGCAGGGACAGGGCAGAGCGAGGTTGGTTAGATAATCCACTAAATAAGGATTTTGTACGTTGGTATCATCTCCAGTTGACGGTAAATGTGAAACAGAAAGTACGTGACCTACCCTGGGACGGGTTTTCAGGGCCTGCACTGCCCCTGTGATTGCCCGGATCCAGCTGTGCATCTCCTCGGGGCTGTCTGCCTGCAAACACAGCAGCCCCAGTGAGGCTCAGCTGTCCTGGCATTCCCAAGGTTCAGCTCTGCCTTCTGCTCCCACAAACAGCCCCTATTATAAACAATCCCAAGGGAAAAGTGAATCCCCCACAGTTCTCCTTCACACTCGTGTGTTACAGCCCCATCTGCTCACTGTGTTCACTGGTGAAGGGCTGTGGGGAACTGTCCATTTCTCAAGAGCTGAACTTTCTGCCCCAAAAATTATCCTGGCCTCAGCTGCTCACCTGGATGTAGAAGGTCCTGGAGCTTGTTATGACTTCAAAGAGGTTGTCTCGCATCAGGAGGTCACTAGAAAGAGTGAGAAAGAGACAGTCACACCCCAGCAGCCATCGTGGACAGAAAACCTGTATTTATCTTCATCTCTGGAGTGTGCTGGGGAGGAACGTATTGAAGGCAAACCTTGGATCTCATTGGGATTTTGAGAAGAGTCCAGACCCCCAGAAAACAACAGCCAGAAATCCCCCAGCTCTAACATCAGCCAACAAACCCCTGCCCTCCCCCACCATAATCCACTGCATTCCCAGCTCATTTTAAATATCAGCTTGCTATCACTTATTAGGAATAAACAGTTCAGAGATACATAAATACACTATATTTTTACTTTAGCTGAAGAGGTTTGTTTTCTTAGGTTATTTTTCATTGCAAGCCTTTACTTTACTTTGATTTTATCAGTGTTTGCTGCAACAACCTGTTCCCGAGACACTGCAGCCGCCTGGGCTAGTTTAAGGCAAACACCTCGAGAGCTGCTTCCCACGAGCAGCTGGAGCAGCCCAAGCTCCCTCTCCTGAGCCAGCCTGGGGCACAGCAGGGAAACACGGGTGGGAACATTACCCAGACTTGACCAGGCACTCGTGGGTCTTGCAAACATCTTTCAAGAGAATCGAACGCAAAGGCTCCTTGTCCTGCAGAGGTGAGAGGAGACAGTGCTGGGCTTGGCTGGCCTCGGGGCTGGCATGTGCCTCCTTCAGAGGAGGAGGAGGTGCCAGAGCCCTGCTTGGAGTCCCGGGAGAGCTGCTCACCTGCTCACACTTGTAGTAACTGATGGAAAACTCATCCAGAACAAAGTACCGCCGCTTCCAGCTCTTCCTCTGGAAAAGAGCAGGAAATCACTCAGCGCTCAGCCCTGCCACTCTCTGTCGAGGTCCAGCAGCCAGAGCACCCCTGGCCTGCAGGGAGAGGCAGCCCCAGGCACTCACCACGTTGCCCTGCTTGACGCAGAAGCCGCTCTTGAGCGGGGCTGGCCCGGCGGGCGGCTTGGTGGCCGAGGGGGGGATGTAGCTCTGCGAGCGCCGCAGCAGAGGGTGCGCGCCCACCTCGCTGCCCTCCCCGTCCTGCAGCAGAGAGAACACAGCCACATCAGCAGGGAGGCATCCCTGCTGGAAGGCAGGACGCCCAGCTGCAGGGAAAAGCCACCTGACACAAGCCCTGAGTGAAGCGTGTGAGCCAAGGGCTCATGGCAGTGCTGAGCATGGGCAGGGAATGAGCCAGAGCTCATGATGTTCTCTCATTGTGTGCAGCTCCCTGGGCTGCTGCCCTGGTACTATTCACCCTTTTGCAAGCATGTGTTAAAAACAAGAAATCAGAAGGGCTGCAGAAAAGCAATTTGAGGGCTGAAGAGAATCCCCTGCAGCAGGGGAGTTAACAGAGCCCACCTGCCTGGCTCGTCCTGCACAAAGAGGTGACTCAGCTGAAGGTATGAGGAGAACAAGAACCACCAGACAAACACAAGCTAGAAAGGAATGCTTTCCAACGGGAGAAGGCAATATACCACAGGAATAAATTGCTCAGAAAAACCATAAAGTCTCTGATTCTCATTTTCAGAGCCAAGTTCTCCCAAAGATACTTGGGTGTTTGGAGCTCAGGAAGGGTGTTTGGAGCACCTCCTCCGGTCCCAGGCTGTCCCTCCCAAGTGCAGTGCTCAGTGCTGTGAGCACAGAGGGGCTCTGGTCATGACCATGTGCCCAGCCCCGTGAGCACAACCCAGTGCACCCCAAGGGCCAGACCCATCCCAGCAGCGCCCTCCCTTCCCCCCAGCAGCACAGAGGATGGTTGAGATGAAACATCTTCTACACTCAGCTTCTTCCCCATCCCTCGGAGCCCTTCCTCCCTCGGCTGAGGTTTGAGCATTGCCATGGCAGCGGGGTGGCCCTGGCCACTGCCAGCCTTATATGGCCCCAGCAGGGGACTGCGGTTTGGGTGAACCTGCCCGCCCAGCACCTTCCACAGCTGCTTCCGTGTCCCCAGGACAGACAAGCAGCTTTTTGTCTGGCCCCTGCGGAGAGCAGTGCAGCGCAGCTGCAGCACCAGGATGCCACCCACGCCCCGGGGCTGTGCCAGCTCTGCCGGGCATTGCACAGGTGGTGTCCAGAGCAGAGGACACTCCTGCAGACCGGAGTGTCACACGCCCCAGAGCTGGGGTGATGCTCCCTGCTGGTCTGGGTGCAGCCAGAGCGTGGGACTCCCCTCCGCAGCCCTGGAGCAGCACCGGCTGGGGCACAGCCAGGAAACCACGGACACGCCCAGGAAGCTGCAGCAGGGGAATGGCCATTTCACACGGGGGAAGCAGCAAGAGCACGGAAATATTCTGGCAGCTGATGCACCACCTCCAAAAAACCCCTCTGCACCCCACAACCCTCCATACACCTCTGCATCCTGCCAAACCCTGTGGCCAGGGAGGTGTTAAAAGCATCTGCCAGCAGAAACTGCTGCAATGATCTAATTCTCTATTTTTAGTGCTGCCACTGATAAGAGCTGAAGTGAGATGCAGAGCTGGACAATGCCCAAACGTGGGAGATGCTGATGGCCACGTGCACACCCAGCTGCGTGCCAGGGAAGCGGATGCAGAGCCACGGCAAGCGGTGCCCACCAGCCCTGGGACAGTCCCTGTGGCTGCTGTGGTGGGGACACCAGGCACAGGGCTCCTCCGCCCTGGGTACCTAAAAGAGGATTTGCACCCAAGACACGTGGGTGGATGGCGATGGCCAGGAAGCTGAGCAGATTCATGGTCTCCTCCTCACCTCAACACCCTTCAGAGTGAGAAAAAGCAGAGGTGTTCAGGGTGCTCAGAGCAGCCATTCATATCTGCAGGGGAAAGGGGTTGCAGGCACACTGTTTCCAGAAATGGAAGTGTAAACCAGCTCACCTGGTTGATGGAGATGGGTGTGTGGACCACTACCCCCCCAACAATCTCTGTTTTGTAGGCCACCTGGGGCTTCTTCTCCTGGGCCTGGGGCACCACCGGAGGTTTGGTGATTTCTGTGGCCGGTGGGACGCTGCCACCCTTTGGCACCTGTGGGAGAAAGGAAGGGATGAGGGGCACAGGGTGACCATGCTGGGCATCCCCACATCTGCACTGGGCACCCCATCTCTGTCTAATGCAGCCACATCCCTTTAGAAAACAACTCCTGGCCAAGCACCCCAGTTAGGGAGGGTGTGGAACCCCCTGGGCAGCAGGAGACACCCAGAGAAGAGATGAGAGGAGCTCAGTGATTAAGCACCCCTTCACAGGCGCCTGTGATTCGCCTCTGCAGCTCAGTGAGTTTGTGGGACACTTACTCCTTTAATTGTCCCCGCTCCACTTACAGGCTTAATGAGGAGCTGGGTCTGGCTAACGAGGCTGAGCGGCGTGGCCGCAGGGACAGCCAGGCACTGCTGTGACCCCAGTGCTGCTGGCTGTGTCCCCCGTGAGCAGCCCCACACCCTGTGCAGAGGCTGGGCTGCAACACAGCTCCCTGCACTGCCATCCTCCCCTCTCCCTTCCCAGCTCCTTCCCTCTGGCACCTGGCTCTGGACAGAAAGGGCAGTTTCCAAATTTCCCTTCCCAGTCCTGCACTTCAGCCCCTCTAATGCCAACCCCCAGTCCAGAGCAGGGCAGAGTGGCAGCATCGCCACATCCCAGGAGCTCTGGGTTTCCCTGCCAGCCCAGGACAGCTCCTCCCTGAAGGGCTGGACCAGCCGGTTGGCCAGCTGGGACACAGCCAGCATTGGGAAGGGCTGGCTGAATCAGACCATGGAAACCACCACGGCTTCTTGCAGAAGCAGAAGATGCATCTCATTCTCCTGTCACCCCAGCTCCCACCTCTGCCAGCCTGGCAGAATCCCCCTGCCCCAGAGGCAGCGACCCTGGAGGAAACTGCTGGCAGTACACCTGGACACAGAGCCCAGGCAGGCTCTGGCCACAGCTCTGGCCAGCTCTGGAGATGGAGTCTGTGGCCAAGATCAGCTGGAGCCAGAAGAAGAAGGCACGAGCCAGAGCACTGTGGCAGCTGCAGGTGCAAAGGTTGTCACACTTAATGTATTTGCAGAGAAAGAAAGAAAATACAAGCTAGGTCTGATCTTGCAGATGAGTTTCCCACAGAAACTACACTATGGCACTCCAGGGATTTAAAAAAAAAAAAAAAACCTACTCATGGATAGGCCCCAATCAAACTGTTTACACGATTTTCCCTTACATTTAGCTTACATACCATAAACAACACTCATCAGTGCATGACCTAATAAAACTCTGTTCACATTATGCATTGGCCCCACTGCTCACTGCAGGTCAGCAGAAGCCCCCAGCCCTTTCCCAGGGACCCCCTGTGCAGGCAGAAGCCATCCTGGAGCCCACCCCATGCCCTGGTGCTGCCAGGGGGGAGCGTGGCACGTCCCGCAGTGCCGGGAGCGCCGGCGGCTGCGCGGCACCGGGTCAGTGCCCATCAGCTCACGGCCCCGTGAGCACAGCAGCACACACAGGAGATGGCACATGAACCCTCTGGATGCAGCACAGCCTGCCTCGCCGTGCCCCACAGCGCAGGGCTTTCGCTGCCTCGTCACAGGAGCCGGCGTTGCAGGAAGAATAAAAACTGAATAAATCTACTGAAGCACGATAAAGCCTCCCTTTGACAGCCACAGCGAGGAGCTGGCTGGGCCAGATCCCAGCCAGCAGGAGTAACAGGAGGAGGAGGGCCTGGAGCAGGAGGGGATGTGGATGGCTCCCACATCCCCTCCTGTCAGCTGTCCCCCACAGCTGGGCTGGGAGGGCGAAGGAAGAGACACAAGGAAACCTCAACCATAAGGATCCCTGGGGATGGTGGAAGGAACAACTGAGAAGAGCATTAAGTAACCTACCGTGATCTTACTGGCCCTGTTCAGTGCCTCCACCCAGTCCTGCAGGTCCTTTTGGTCACTGGCTTGCAAGAAATAGCGCTGGGAGAGGGCGTTGATAACTGCCAGAGGAGCAAGGACAAGGAGAGTTGGCAGCAACCAGAAGGATTCAGGGGGCAGGCACCCACACTGCAGCTTCCCGTGGGAGGGTGTCCCCCCACCGAGCCCACCAAGATCCCACTCACTCACCAAAGCAGAACGGAGTTTTAGGCTTCTGTTTCGGGGTGGCAATGCTAACCTGTGACAGAGCAAATCAGGGGAGAAATTAGAGATACCAGCACGTGCCAGCGGTGGGCAGAAGAGCTGGAAGTTTCCACCCACCCACCCTGCTCCCTGCCTGGGCTCTGCCAGGAGCCCCGAGCAGGACCCCACACATATGGGGGCAGCTGGAGCCACAGCACAGCTGTGCCAGCTGGAGGGAGCTGGCCCGTGTCAGAGCACACGCAGCACACGGTGCTGGGTCCCAGGGGAAGGTCAGCACGGAGCCAGGACTTTCATCCCCTGCACCCCCTCAGGCACTGGCTGAGCTGCACAGCAGAGGACAGAAAGCTTTCAAAGGACCTGGAAACATCCATTCTCCTGGATCAACACAGCCACTCTCATCAGCAATTAAGAGAATTGAGGGAAAATAGTGGTGGTTTTTCCCTGAAGAGTAGGAATCATTTATATAAGAATAATATTCCTTGAGGCTCCACAAACAGCATTCGTGGAGTATTTATTCTGACAGTCCTCCTCCTTCAAAGCCAGTCCATAATGCTTTAAATATGTTTTCTCAAGCAAACCCCCATTTTTCTGGTGTATTTACTGTTGGTAGTTCCAGCCACTGACAGAACCCAACCCCGCAGTTTGTGACCAAACGCTGTCCTGCAGCAATTTTCATTTAAACTAAAACCTATGTAATTTGTGAGGCTCTTTCCAAAATGGGGAAGGCTCAGCCTCCCAGCATTGCTTCATCTGCGCTTAATTTATAAATCATGATTCAGCAGGAACAGGAAGATCTGTCCAAGGCTATATCCAGCTCCAGGATAAAGCTGAGCTGTGCCTGGCGTGGCAGCCACCAGCCCCCCACTCCCCCCCAGCAGCTGAGGGGCCACTTGCAGGAGGAGGATGATGGCAGCTCCACTCTCCACGTACACTCTCCACTGTCTCAGTCACCAGCCCTGCAACAGTTGGTGCTTATTGCACTGTTCCTGCCTTCCTGTGGGGACTGGATAACACCCTTGAGACACACAGGTGACTTTCCAGGTCTCATCCTTCAGGGCACTGCCCTCTGAGCACAGGGAGAGCTCCTGAAGCACTGCCACGGGACACTGACACAGCAGGCAGGGGCATGGGGAGGCCCGGAGGAGATGCCCGCTCCAGGGAGGTGGGACGTGCCCACAGACTCACTGACAGCTCTACAGACATGAGGAGGATGGTGGCAGCTCCACTCTCCACACACAGCCACAGCTCCACTATCTGTCATCGGCCCTGCAGCAGTCGGTGCTTATTGCACTGCTCCTGCCTTCCCATGGAACAACCCTTGAGACACACAAGTGACTTTCCAGGTCTCATCCTTCAGGGCACTGCCCTCTGAGCACAGGGGAGAGCTCCTGAAGCACTGCTCAGCCGAGTGCCAGCTCCGTGCCCAGCTCAAGCTGACACCACACTCCCGTCCCCACTCAGTCCTGGCCACACGTGTCCTTCCTCACAGCAGAGCAGTTCCTCTTCCTCTTGCAGCCCAGCCTTGCACCCTGTCCCACGCCACTCCAGGGTGAAGATGAACACAGTCCCAGCACCAGGATCTTTGTGCTGTGGGGTCACTCCCTGCTTCCCACAGCCCTGCTCAGGCTTCATCCCAGGGAGATGACCACGAGCCCAGGCAGGACCAGGAGCTGCCCTCGGGTGCTTCCAGGGCAAGCCTCTCCTGGGAATGCCACAGGGATAAGGGGAAAACAGGGAGCACTCACCTTCCCTCTGCCCCACCCCAACATTACCTTGGAGATATAGGTCAGCTGCAGAGATCCGACAGCACCTGCTCCGATGGCCAGGTTCTGCAACACACAGGATGAGCAGTGGGAGGTAAATGACAGGGAGAAGGTGGCGGGGGCAATCCAGCCTGTCATTTCTGCCCTTGGGGTCAGGCAGCAGCTGCCATCCTCAGCCACTTCCCTGTCCTGCACCTGGTTCAGCCCAGACCCCTCAGCAGTGGGACCAGCCCTGCTGTGCTCCTTGGGACAGTCCTGGAAACCACAGAGGTCACAGAAGGGTGGGAGCCTGGTCATGGCCACGCTCAGCCACGGGACACTCTGCCACAGCAGGCAGGGGCCTGGGGTGAGCCGGCGGAGATGCCTGCTCCACGGGGGTGGGACGTGCCCACAGACTCACTGACAGCTCTACAGACACGCCTGGCACACGTGCCCACCTGAGGATTGTCCATGTACCACAGGAGGTGGTTGGCCTGGGTGTCCAGGATGAAATACCTCCGCAGAAACTTGCCACAGGTCTCATTTTCTTCGATGTCCAGGAAGCCGCAGATACGGTTCTGTCGGTCCAGGTACGGCATGCCGGGCTCCTTCTGGCATCACCCTGTGGAGTGGGGGGCAGGCAGGGTAGGTGGGTGCTCTGCTCCCCAGGGAGCTGCCCCAGCACCCGTGGCACCCAAGCTGTGGAGCTGGGTATAGCATTGGACAGATCTTCCTGCTCCTGCTGAATCCTGATTTCTGAATTAAGCACAGATGAAGCCAGGTGTTCCAGGATGCCAGCACAGTCCCTCAGCCACAGCCCAGCTCTCTAGAGGGAGATGGGAGGGACAACAACCAACCCACCACTCCCAGCCCCAAGAGCCACCAAACCCCGTGAGCGAGGACAGAGCAGCCACAAAGGATCTGACACGAGACACCAGATCCCTGAGAACTGTGGTGAAAATTAATCCCAAAGCAGCATGCTAGAGAGAGCCTGAGCACACTCCCAGGAAACAGGGAACAATCTGCAACTCCAGCAGAAAATCTGTGCAGCCAGGATGTCGAGTCAGCAGGGAAAACAATGACCCATCCCAGCGGGGCCACGCTGTGTCCCCAGGTCTGCCACGGGCAGGGACCCTCCCCAGCACTGCCCCCCACCCAGGAGGAATCCTTCAAGGCCCCTGGGCTGCAGTGGGAACACCATCATCACTTCCAACCCTCTGTGGGGTGCAGAACCAGCACCAAGGGGCCCGGGGGGAGCAGGATGAGTCCCACTGCCCGGGCAGAGCCCTCTCCCCACGGGACAGGGTGGAGGGCAGGGATGAGAGCAGCCGTTACCCAAAGGATGTGAGTGAACCCGGTGTGGTTTGTCTGGCAGGAGAGTGGTGATCACGCAGGTGCCAGAAGCAGAGCTACACAAATAAAAGAACTCATGCAGAAAAGGAGGAAATACTATTTTTGAGCTGCAGTGTAGTGGGGCCCGGGGAGGTGAGGGTTGTGCAAGAGCTGGGGTGCAGCTGCAAAGGTAGAGGAGGCAGAAAACAAGTCAACCTGCTGTCAGGATCTCAGTCTACCACCAACATTTCAGAGATGGGTATCAGGGCTTGGCTCATGGGAACCGTGCTGCTGCAGGGGGAGAAGTTGTTATAGACCAAAAACGGTGCCCTGGCACAAGGGTTTCTGTGGGCACTTCCAGTCTCACTGCTTTTTTGTGGGCTTATTTTTGTGGTGGGGAAGCACATGGACAGCAAAACCCTAGGTACCCTCAACCATACCAACACGTTCACACCAAACCTCATAAACCCTTCCTTCTGCTGACAACAAAGGTCTAGAGATTCCTGCCTAGGAGACAGATGAGGAAGGAGCAGAATGTGCCACAGGCAGCACAGAGATGAGCCCCACATTCCCCATGGGACACCCCTTGGAGTCTCCATGTCCCTCCACCATCCTTCATTACCACGGGTTCATCTGGGAGAGCACAAACCAGCTCAGCCCTTCTGTGCACACTGACCTCAGGCTGCACTTGGAGATGCCCAAACCTGTGGGCAGAGGAGATTGGGACTGTTCCCACACTCAAGTCAGCCGGGTTCCTGTCCCCTCACATCCCACTGCCCACGGAACACAAGTGGTCCCTCTTTGGAGCCACCGAGAACTGCACTTTTCCACAAGGAAATGATAAAAGTAGCATCTTCAGCTGTGCTAACATGGGGTACCCCACTCAGGAAATCCAGGAGGGCCAGAAAATGTTCAATTTCCTAATGAAGCATATCAGAGACTTCCAGGACTCTTTCCTGCCTCTGAAGCAACAGACCTGCCAGCTTTTTCCACCACAATATCCCACCCAAAAAGACAGCCCTTTCTTGACTCAGTGAATGACAGGGCAAGCAATTGGGCTACAGAAGAAGACTTACAGCAAAACCACCCCCTTGCCTGCCTGAGCCAAAGGGAAGTGCTGCCCAGGGAGAGGCAGGAGCTGCAGGGCACTGTCCACGCAGCACCCAAGGGTGGCTCAGAGGCCTCGTGGGCAGCCACACAGCCAGACTTTCCAGGAAGCAGCTCAGGATGCCCTGCACCGTCACGGCTGCTGTGCCCTGCTCTGTCCCGGCAGAGCCACAGGAGCAGCCCAGGAGCACTGCAGCAGAAAAACCCGAGGCCATGGGAGACCCGGCACTGGGAGCATCACAGCTGTGCTGCGGGAGGCACCTCCTCAGCACCTCCCTCCACAGCACCCAGCGCACCTGTGGGCAGCCACAGCGTCCTCCTCCTCCTCCTCCTCTCTCACACCTGTCCTCCCGAGCTGTGCCGGGGTGCAGGATGACCCTCCCTCCGTTCCAGGACTGCGACCTGCGCTGCCCAGTGCCCCGCAGCGGCTGCAGCTCCACTTCCTCTCACCTGCGGTCGCGGAGCAGCTCCCGGAGCCCACGCTGCGACGTCTGTCCCGACCCACGAGACAGACGGGGTAGGCAGCGCCCAGCAACTCGCTCCTACTAATTGCAGATCTTTGCCTTAATGAAACTATCAGCCTGTCGGGAGGAGGCTGGATACAGCTCTTCATCTGCCACAAAGAGTCGGAGAACACACAGAATAGCAGCAAACCCCTGATCCCCGCCACGCGCTGCCTCCAACCCCACAGACTTTGGGCGACGACGGTGCCTGCAGCATTTCCGGAGCTCCCACGGGGACCCCTCCGCTCCGGCAGAGCCCCCTCGCTGCCTCCCCCTCCCCTACCCCGACGGGAGCCGTCGAGCAGAAGCCGCTCGCACCGGGAGGGCTCCACTCCAGCCCCGGCACGGATAATCCAGCTGCAGAAACCGGAATCCCCGCCAGGGATAGGGGAACCAGCCCTGGGGCCGCCTCCCCAGCGGCCCCCGCAGCCGCGGGGCACGGACGCCTCCAGCCGCTGCGGGAGGCTCGGGGGGAGAACGGGGCCGGGACAGCGAGGGCTGCCAGCCCGGCCCGCGGGGTCTCGAGAGAGCGAGCGCTGCCTGCGGGCAGCTCGGCGGCCACGCGTGTCCCCGCGGTGGCACTTACCCCGCGGCGTCCCGGGCGGGCGGGGGGCGGCGGGGGCTGCGGGCGCCGGGCAGCGCTGCGAGGAGGAGGACGGACGGGCGGCGGAGGGGGTGTGCCCCTGGCTCCGCCGTCGCTTCTTTCCGGGTTAATTACGTCTGTCATTAGCAAACCCGGCCCCGGATGTGAGTGCGGGGCGCGGGGCGGCTCCGCGGGGCGGGGGGTGGGTGTCCGTCCCTCCGTCCCATCGCCGTCTGTCCGCGGCTCTGCCGCGCACCTGCCGCGGCACCGGGGGCTAAGCCGGCGGCAGGGGTAAGGGCAGCCCGGTGCGCTCCCAGTGCCAGCCTGTCCGGGCTCCGGGCCTTCCCGGTGAATCCCGAATCCCCCCCGACCCGACACAAAACCACTCGGTCGGTGCTCGAGGCTGGCACTGATGGAGATGAGCCGCCCGGTTCGCGATTCCTACCAGAGCATCTCTTGGGGAAGCTGCTGCTGGAGTGAGCTCGGTGTGGATTTGGGAGCAGGAAACACCCGCTGCCTCCCCCGTGCCGCCCCGGGGAAGCCCCACTTTCTCTCCGAAACTCCGTCTGGCTCCGATGCACTTTCTCTCGGCGCGGGTGAAACCGACCCTGGTGCTGCCGGCGCGCAGGGATGTCGCTCACGGACACCCGCAGCCCCTGTCCATCCCACTCTAACCCGCTCCTTCCCACTGCTGCCTGCCTGCTCCCGCCATCCTGGAGGTCTCGAGCCCTGCCTCCCCCTCTCCCCATCCCTCCCTTTGCAAAGATTAAACTGTTCCATTTTTACACCGAGGCTCCTCTCGCAGCCCTTGCGACCCGCCGGAGCCCGGGGCAGCGCTGCGGTCCGGGCACGGTCACACGGCAGCGACTCCCAGCGCTGCTCTCCCTTCATTCCAGAGCGCTCTGCCTGGCAGCTCTCCTGGATTTTCCAGTGCGTTTTTCTGCTGTAAGCTGTGTGGGGGTAGAAGCGGCCCCTGGAGCTCAGTGAGACGCCCCAGCAGCAGATGAAGGGCCATGAGAGGGCACATCTCTGCCGCAGGACCTTTGGGGATTCCTCCAGCAGCCATAGCCCCGCGCAGAACACCCTTTGTGTGCCCCAGGGAAGGAGCAGGATCCGCAGCAGACAGGGAATAATCTGCTTTCCAGATGCTCCCCTCCAGCGGCAGCGACCCTCAAGGCATATGCTGACCTTCACAAGACTATGTCCATGTTCTGCAGGACTTCTGACCCTCTCCAGCACTCACCGAGGTCACTGCTCCAGCAGCATCCTCCAGCTGTGAGCTCCACGGCTGGATCTGCACGTGCTAAATTACTTCTTTTCTTCTGTTCAAACTTGCTCTTTTCAGTTTCAGTACCTGTTCCCCTTTTCCCCGTGTGCTGACTGGGGCAGACTCCAGCAGACAGCTGCTGCTTGCTGCTCACCCTGCTCTACAGTCCTTGCAGTCAAATTCTCATGGTCCCAGCCATCCTTCACTTCCTTCATCATTTCCCTTTCTGTTCTCCTCACTCTGTTCACTCACTTTTACCCTTCTCCCTCATGAAAACAAGCCTCACCGACCACTCCTGGGGATCTTTCTAGCACCTGTGGGCAGCCACAGCATTCTCCTCTCACATCTGTCCTTTCTAGCAGAGCTTTGAGCTGTGGGACCACCTGCAGCCCCAGACCACAGAGCAGCCTCACATCTCCCCCTCACATGTCTCAGCAGCCACCGAAACCTCTCTCCACAGCCGAGCCTCAGGTTGCAGAAAGCAGCCCAAAAGCATCTCTGTTGGACCAGCGGGGAGGGGATCTGCTCTGGCATCCCGGGCTCTGCCTAGCAGAGCCCTCCAGGGCGGCACCAGACGCCAAACCGGTTCTATTCGGCTCGTTCCCTCTCGGTTTTGGCTTCCCTGTCAAGGAGAGGCTGCGGACGCGGTTCTCAGGGCAGCATTTATTGAACCGGCAGCGATGGGACCCCTCGCACAGAGCATCCCCGCCGCATCCCTAGGCTAGAGCGGCCAGCAGCCGGGCCCAGCGCTCAGAGCCAGCCCAGCAGCAGCGTCCCGGCCAGCACGGTGGCCAGCAGGCCGGCCGGGGGCGGCGGGGTGGCCCCCGCGCCGTTCCGGGAGCCCCGAGCCGGCCCGTTGCAGTCGTCGCTGAAGCAGCAGCGCACGGTGGCCCCGCCGGAGCCGCCGCGGCGAGCCTGGTCACAGAAGGACTTGTAGGAGCAGGACTTAATGACGCTGTCTGCAAGGAAAGGCAAAGTGATGGGGTGAAAGACAAGGAGCGCCTCAGTGCAGCACAGTGCAACACAAGAAGGAGCCACCTCCTGCTCCGCCTCAGGACCCCTGCTTCTCCTCGCCCTCCAGACCTCCGAGACCTTCTGGTCTTACCCCCCTTCTCCCCCTGGAGCCCCCCGGCCCCCCGGCCAAGGCCCTTACTGGGTGCAGTGATGGTGGAGCAGGCGTCGGCGTACTGGGGGCAGCTGTGGGATCCCTGCTGGTTGCAGTCGTTCTCGTTGGATGCGACACATTTGTGGCATTTCAGAGCTTTGCCTGGGTGAAGGTGAGGAGGAGGAGGAGTGAGAGTGATAGCAATGCACTGTCCCAGAGCCCCCAGTGCCCTGACAGTCTGTGGGTCTCCACCCCAGGGACCTGAGGGGGGTCACAGGTGAGGGTTGGCACCAGACAGATTCGAGCCATGGCATGCAGCAGAATGCAGGATGGGGCCTCACCTGTCCACAAAATTAATGCAAAACTCTTCCAAGTGTGACTCAAAATGATGAGAGCCAAAATGGGCAGGTGAGCTCTGCTGAGTCCTTGCCCTGCAAAGACTCCCTGAGAGCCCTGGAATTCCTTTTACAGTAAAAATAGATAGACATAATATTTAAAAACCATCCTAGATCTTTGTCTTCTTGTGCCAGATCTCATTTTAATAAGAATTTTGGGGGGGAGAAGGGAGAATCCATCCAACCTGTGGGAGCAGCTCCCACATTTTACCCTGTGCTCTGGAAGCTCAGCCCGAGGGTGCTGCCTGGGGACAAGCAGGGTGACAGTGCCAGGCAGCTGCAGGAGGGATGAGCCATCTCCAGATCATCCTTTAAGGAGCCCACGGGCAGGTTAGATAGCAGCCAGAGCCGATAGTGCTGCAAGAGCTGTGTGACCCCTCACAGCTTACACACACCCCAGAAAAACCCAGAGCTGCAGATCCCGCTCCTGCCTGAAAGGATGAATCCTCGATTTTGGTGGGGCTGGAGGTGAAACTCGTCTCTGCCTTGCTGAGGGAGCGGAGCCCTCTCGTGGCAGCGGGGCCGGCTCGGCCCGGAGCTTCCACCTCCATCTCCGGGAGAGAAAACCCGAGAATGGGCAAAACTGGGAGGCCAGAAAGCGCCTTCCATTAACCCACGATGACCCGGCTTCCTCTGCTCAGTTGTGTTTCGTCTCCTTTGCTGCTCCTCACAGCACGGCACAGCCTTTCCTCTGCCCTGAGCTAAAAATACAATCGTGTCCTGTCACATTCATATTTACTGAAAAATTCCTTCGCCCAGGATTTCTCTCCCGGGAAGCTGAGAAGCCTCAGAGAAAAAAAGAAAACAATATTAAATCATTTGCTTCTCCTGTGTTTTGCTGCTTTGGAATGTGGTTGGAGACTGTTTATCCAACAAGTGATTGTTTCATTGGTTTCATGTGAATTATTTTGACTTATTGTCCAATAAGGGTCAAGCTGTGCCGAGGCTCTGGAGAGAGTCACGAGTTTTCATTATTATCTTTTCAGCCTTCTGTAAGTATCCTTTCTGTATTCTTTAGTATAGTTTAGTATAGCATTCTTTAATATAATATAGTATCATAAAATAATAAATTAGCCTTCTGAGAACATGGAGTCAGATTCATCATTCCTTCCTCACCTTCATCGGGGGCAACCAGAATACAACAGTGTTCATCTTGCCTTGGTCCAAAGATCCTGAAAGAGTCCAGAGCTGCTCCATGGCATTGCTCTGAGCAGTGCAGCCACCCCCCTGCCTTTTACAACAGCTTGTTGTGATTATGCCTTGGAGGAACCAAGTGTTAGCAGGCAAACACAGCTCTAGCCGAAAGAAGTTTTGGCTCAGGAGCCTCCATCAGAGCTGAGGACCAGAGACTGTGGTCCCTGCAGGGCACAGCCTGGGCTCTGTGCCAGCGGCAGAGAGACAAGGGACAGGGGGCTTCTCTTGGTGCTACCCAGAGGACAAAGCCACCCTCCCCCCCAAAACATCATTTTCCTGCAGGGGTGGGAGCAGCCAGGGCAGGGGCACGGTGGGCAGGCGCCAGCCCGAGGCAGGTGACAGGGACAGGGCAGCAGCAAGCGCGGGAGCAGCTACAGCGATTTCCCCGACCTCGTGCTGCCCGCAGCCAGGGGACACTTACTTCCTCCAGCCAGGGACGTGAGGATGGCCAGGGCCAGCAGGGTCTTCAGGGCAGGCATCCTCAGCAGTGTGCAGTGTGGGGTGGGTAGCTGCTGTTTTGTCTTAAGGTCTTACAGCTAATCTGCTTGGGAGAGTGCATCGGGGCTGGGCTAATGCCATCTTAGCTGGGGGGACAGGACACAGCTCCCCAAGGACAGGGGCTGGGCAATGGCACTGGGGCACAGCACCACACTGCTGCCAGCAGATGGTTGCTGGGCTCTGCTCCGTATCCTGCTTTGGAAACCATCTCTGGACACAGAACCTTGTGGTGGCTTTCAAAGGTCTTGATCAAGCCCACCTGCCCCATCCAGAGAACAGCCCCTTCTCGTCATGAGTAGCGGCCAAGCTGGGGAAAACCCTTCAGATTTTCCAACCCACCAAAAGAGAAGTGCAAGAGAACAACTGAAAGCCCCTACAGGGCTGGGAGCCCAATGGAACCACTCCTGCACCCCCCATCCTCCCAGCAGGATTTACCTAAGGCCACAGAGGGACAGTGCAGGGATTAGGCCAAGGATTCTCCTGCCTGCCATCCCGCTGCTGCCTCAGCTCTTCCTGCTGCCTGAGCTCACTGCCATGGCTTAGTACCATCACAGCATGCTTGGAGTGGAGTTATAGGGCCAGAAAAACCATCCCAGGTTGGAATTTCAGAGCTCAGAAATGCAGATTTCAGGAACAGATGATAACTGTACTTATTTGAAACCAAGTGCCGTGTAAATCACATTAATAAAGACAAAGCAGAACACGGCCCATTCTGGAAGGTAAAGCCAACTCCTCCCAAAACTCTTCACCAACCTCACAAACACCACGAAAGCTTTCAAGAGTGATAAACACAGTTTTTACTCAGGCAATGAAACATGGAAAAAATATATTAGTAATCATTATAATAATCTCATTTGTGTGAGTATAACTCTTACAAATATTTACCTGACATATAAAAGGGAAATTATCATACATATAAAACCGATGGCGATGGCAGTTACACACATGGCTGGAAGCAGAGGGGAAGGAGCCAATGCAGAGGAAGTTCCTGCCTGGGGGAGGCCACACTGGAGGGATGGGGGAAGAGATCAGTAGTTGGGGGTTACTGGTTGGCACTTGGTTACAGACAGATCTGCTGGCAAACACACACTGCAAACAGCAACACAGCAACAGGGGCAGGGCCCACCGCTGCCAAAAGAGCATTTAAAGTCTACTGCAAGGAACAGACAAACACAGCCAGCTGTGACAGCACACACAGGGACCTGCCATTCCCTGTGCCAGTCACGGGGACACCACCAGCTCGGCGTGTGCGCCACCACCTCGAGGTGCAGCCACCCTGCCCGCTGGCAAACACGCCTGCTATCTGATATCACTGTAGCCATTATGTATTTATATATATATATGTAACTATAACCATATTATAGTTAATAAATCATTCCGTAGGAATCTTCTTTGCCCAGGCTGGGGTGCGCACGGACGGGCACAGGAGCGGGTGAGGGGAGGTGGCACGGCAGGACTGGGTGGCACTGGGGACAGGAGGGATGGACTGTGCCCCGTGGGTCATCACAGTGCGGACAGCCCGCAGGGGAAAGCTGCAGCAGTGACTGCTGTGTGCAGGTCAGGGCTCTGGGGAAGTGACAAGTGGTGAAATCTAAACTTCTGCAATTATCCACCAGCTCCAAGGGCCAGAGCCATGCCCCAAGGAGAGACTGACCTCAGAAATCTGAACTTCTGCAATTATCCACCAGCTCCAAGGGCCAGAGCCATGCCCCAAGGAGAGACTGACCTCAGAAATCTGAACTTCTGCAATTATCCACCAGCTCCAAGGGCCAGAGCCATGCCCCAAGGAGAGACTGACCTCAGAGTGTCTCACCTTGAGAGCAGCACATGAGTAGTGCCCCAAGGAGAGACTGACCTCAGAGTGTCTCACCTTGAGTGAGAGCAGCACATGAGTACCACAGCTCTGGGCAAAGCAGAAGGCTGAGGGCTGCCACAGTCCCCACCTGGGACTGCTCCTGCAGCACCGTGGCAGGGCAGGGCAGTGCCCCAGGGCCCCAACCAGAAACCAGCCCTGTCACCAGCTCTGAGAGGTGATGCAATGCTGCACTCTGCTTCCTCAAGAGGAAAAGCCAACTGGCCCAGAAATCTCGGGGTCTCAGGGGTTTGCTTTACCTGCACAGACTCCCCAAGGGGAACAGAAATATCCTTGCTGATCTTATGGTTGAAGCTTTTTCACCAGCCCAGGAGGGGACATGTGGGGAGGTCAAGGGGGTTAAAAAGAAAGGGGGAAAAAAGGTTTTTCTTTTCTGTCAGCTGTGCAAAGGGTGAATATCCAGCACAAGGAACAGGTGCACTGCTTTGAGTGGTGTCAGCCACTGGCTTCTGTGACCAGTCTGTCACTGGGATAACTGGGGGTGTGGAGAACAGGCTGGGAAGCTGTGTGCTGGGGCAGGCTGCTGACACCTTTGCTTAAGTGTAGAATAAACTCTCTCTATATTATATAACTAATAAAATATAATCAAGTGTATGGCTCTGGCTTAAACAGGTGTTTGCTCTGCATGCTCGACACAGGGAATTAGAAAATAGAAGGAAAAGAGCTCAATTCTGTTACAAAAAGGTAGCAGCAAAAAGGTTTGTGAAAGTGTTCAACAGGCCGGGCAGGAAACAGTCCATACTGCAAGTATTTCCCTTATTTCACACCTATCCATTCAAGGCAGAGAATCCTCCATCACTGCAGCTACTGCAGTAACCACGAGGCAGCTCAGGGTTCAATTCCTTCCTCCTGCAGCCTCTGAAACGGAGCCCTGATCTCACCATGGCACAGGGAGTCACAGACACGGCCCTGGCTTCGCACGTGTCCAACAGCAGCTCACCCAGGGGACCAGGGCCACGGGGAGGATGGAGCAGGACCAACATCTCCCCTGCTTCTCAAACACCTCTTGGTGCAGAAACCTCCTGCCTCCCCTCACCTGGACTCTCCCTGGAGAGGACTGAAGTTACTGCAGGTTTTGTGACTGTTCAGTGCTCTGGGGGGAACACGTTGTGCCTGACTGGAAGGAGTGAGCGGAGAGCCCAAGTGCCCATAAATGCTCATAAAGTGCACGAATGCAGAGATGTCAGCTCCCTTCCTCCGAGGCTGGCACAGCCAAGGACAGGGAGAGGCTGTGCTGTGCTTCACCCACCTACCAGAGACCAGCCATCCCCGTGCCAGGTGCCCTTCCCCAGTGCCAGAGCCAGCAGGTCCACCCCTGCCATCACCCACGTCCCAGGGCAGCACCTACCAGTGGCTGGACCTGTTCTGCTGAGCCCGTGAGGACAATCAGTGACACAGAGTGCAGTGGGGACACAACCAGAGCCAGCCCAACCAAGGGGCACAGAGCCCAGGGAGGGACACACAGGTCCAGGCTGAGCACAGGATTCCCAGGCTGACTGCAGGGATCCCAGCCTGGAGCTGTGGGAAGCAGACAGGGACAGTGAGGGGAGCAGCCCTGCTCAGGAGCCACAGGTCTGGCAGCCAGGGGGGCAGCTGGACACGTGAGCTTTCCTACAGGGACTCCGGGGTAAGGCAAGGTGCTCAACGTCACGAGAAAAGCAGCCAAGTGCAGAGTGCTGGGCGAGGGGTGCTGAGGCTCAGTCTGACTTTCCCAGTTTCGCTATCAGCTCGTCGCAGATCTTGGTCAGCTCCTCAATCTCCTGGTTCTGGAAGAAAAGCAGATCTTGGGGACCCCTGTGGGGAGTAACACCAGGGCCTATCTGCCATCAAGCATGTGTGGGAAAGGGCAGGCAGCTCCTACACGTGCCCCTGCAACAGCTCCTCTGTGCTCCAGGCACTGCGTGGAGCTCTGTGCTCACCCCTCCTCATCCCAGTCAGACCTCGGTGCTGCAGAGATCTGCAGCAAGCCAGCCCCAGCCCACACCTCTGCAAACAGGCACACGTAAGCCAGCAATGTCCATTCTGCCCAAAAAATTCAAACCAACCCCACAAAATACAAAAAAAAAATCGAAGCAAACAAAAAAAAAATATTCCGAAAACCAAAAAACGCCTTCTGGACCAAAAATCTGGAGGACACCTCCAGCATCAAGAGGATGCTCAGGGCAGCAAGAGGAACTGCTGGCAGGGCTGCAGAGAGGCAGGGGCAGGTGTGTTACCTTCTGCTGCAGGGTTCTCTCCAGGGACTCGACCTTCATCTGCTCCTTGCGCAGCCCCGCGTGCAGCGCCGCGCTCTCCGCCTTGGCCTTGGTGCGCACCTGGGCGATCTCCTCGTTGGCTCTGGGGGACACAGGGGGACAGAGGCCAGCTCAGAGGGACAGAGGCCACCTCAGGGGGCAGGCAGGAGCCCCACAGCACACGCAGCAACTGCAGAGCCTGGCTCTGCTCGCCTGGCTGCAACAGAGGGGGTTTGCCCCTGTGGAACTGGATGAAACTGGGTTAATTCAGCTCCTCGAGCCCCTGTATGAAGCTCTGCTCTCTCAGGGCCAAGCTAAACCCGCTCACCACCCACTTCACTCAGGGTTCCACGTGCTGCTGAGCTCCTGCTCATCAGCTGAGCCCCAGGGCTGTGCAGCCCCCTCGTGCACCACAAACAGGAGCACTCTGAAAGCTGGGAACTTGGTAAGTGACCATAGACCGTGAACCTCAGGTTCTCCATTAAAAAGTAAATAAGCAGAGATCAGAGAGTGCATTCAGGGATTTGCTCTGCCTTGCTTAGAGACACTTGAGCCTGAGGTTGTAAAATGCAGCTTTTCACATCATTCAGCTCCTGCCTTCCAGCCTCTGGAAAGAAAATGAAGCCGCTTCCCTACAAGGTCTTGAAGCACCCAGCAATCTCATGCATGACCTTACTTGTCTAATTTTTCTTCTGCGTGGACTTTCAGGGCCTGGTACCGCTGCTCTTCCTGCTTGACACGGGTTAGATAATCTTGAGCACATTTCTTCAGAGCTTCTTCATTCTGGAAAAGAAAGTACATCCATCTGCATTGGGACTGGGCACAAAGAAGAGATGATACTGTTCTGAGTGCAAGAAAAAAAGTTTTTAAAAAACCCAACTTCTGCTTTATGCTGGAGCCCCTTATCCAGCTCAGCAGCATAGCAACATGGAGTGTGACTGCCCAGGAGCCCTGTGTCCAGGGACCAGAGCTGCAGGGAGAAAGGGCAAACCAAGGTAAAGACCTTCTTAAATCCTTCCAGGACGCCCTTCAGGTTTTCATATCTCCTGAACAGATCTGACAGGGATCTCTCCACCGAGTTCAGGTCTGCCAGAGCCTGGTCCTTTTCCATTGTGAGCTGCTGCAGGTTCTTCTGAGATGTCATGTTTGTCCTCTGCTCATCCTCTGGGATGGAGAACAGGACAGTGATTGAGTGGGGACAGCTGTGGCAGCCAGCTCCCTGCCCCACACACCTGGCCAGGTGACAGCACCTTACCTATCATCTGGGCAATGGTCTTTTCATACTCAGCCACGATTTTCCTTGAAAGAAGAGAAAAAACAAACAGGTGAGAGACCACTGATTGTGGGGACATGCACCTCCAGCTGTGCTGGCAGCAATGTGCCCCACAGGAGGCTCTGCTGGCCCATGCCCTGTCACCACTGCACCCCCACAGGAGCACGGTCACAGGGCCCAGATGTTGGGGCTGCAACCCAGATGTTGGGGCTGCGCCACCCATCAGCACTGCTTCAGGCCAAATCCTGCCCCTGCCACTGGGGCTGGCACAGCTCGTGGGATTTGATTTCTGCAGCAAAGGAACGAGCAGGACACAGCACCAGCAGCAAGAGAACACTGACACAGCACCAAGAGAACATTGACACAGCACTGAGAGAACATTGACACAGCACTGAGAGAACACTGACACAGAACTGAGAGAACATCGACACGGCACCAAGAGAACATTGACACAGCACTGAGAGAACATTGACACAACACCAGCACTAAAAGAAGTCTCTGCCAAGACACCCCACCCTGGTGAGGCTGACCTGTGTCAGCCCTCACTGTGTCACCCCTCAGCCTCCTCCTGCCCGGGGACAGCTCGTACCTCATCTCCAGCACTTCCTGCCGGCTCTCCTCGTATTTCTTCTTCCACTCGTTGGCCTCGATCTCCTTGGTGATTATCTGGGTTGCAGCAGACAAAGGACCCTTGGGATGTGCTCTGAGGGGTTTCCCCTCTCTGTCCCATGCAGGGGATCAGATCCCCCCTCCTGGGCAGAGCAGAGCTGCCCCTGCTGCCCTGGGGTGAGGGCCAGTGAGGGGTAGCCCAGGGGACAGGGACAGGGCTGTTATCTCCAAGGGGCAGCCCAGGGGACAGGGACACGAGGGGCAGCCCAGGGGACAGGGACAGGGCTGTTCCCTCCTCTCTGATGAGTGAGGGGCAGCGACACAGCACTGAGAGAACATTGACACAGCACTGAGAGAACATTGACACAGCACTGAGAGAACATTGACACAGCACTGAGAGAACATTGACACAGCACTGAGAGAACATTGACACAGCACCAGCACCAAGAGAACATTGACACAGCACTGAGAGAACATTGACACAACACCAGCACTAAAAGAAGTCTCTGCCAAGACACCCCACCCTGGTGAGGCTGACCTGTGTCAGCCCTCACTGTGTCACCCCTCAGCCTCCTCCTGCCCGGGGACAGCTCGTACCTCATCTCCAGCACTTCCTGCCGGCTCTCCTCGTATTTCTTCTTCCACTCGTTGGCCTCGATCTCCTTGGTGATTATCTGGGTTGCAGCAGACAGAGGACCCTTGGGATGTGCTCTGAGGGGTTTCCCCTCTCTGTCCCATGCAGGGGATCAGATCCCCCCTCCTGGGCAGAGCAGAGCTGCCCCTGCTGCCCTGGGGTGAGGGCCAGTGAGGGGTAGCCCAGGGGACAGGGACAGGGCTGTTATCTCCAAGGGGCAGCCCAGGGGACAGGGACACGAGGGGCAGCCCAGGGGACAGGGACAGGGCTGTTCCCTCCTCTCTGATGAGTGAGGGGCAGCCCCAGGGGACAGGGACAGGGCTGTTCCCTCCTCTCTGATGAGTGAGGGACAGCCCCAGGGGACAGGGACATGAGGGGCAGCCCAGGGGACAGGGACAGGGCTGTTCTCTCCTCTCTGATGAGCAAGAGGCAGCCCAGGGACAGGGACAGGGCTGTTACCTCTGAGGGGCAGTCCAGGGGACAGGGACACGAGGGGCAGCCCAAGGACACGAGGCACAGCCCCAGGGGACAGGGACACCAGGGACAGTCCCAGGGGACAGGGACATGAGGGGCAGCCCAGGGGATAGGGACAGGGCTGCTCCCTCTGAGGGGCAGCCCCAGGGGACAGGGACACGAGGCACAGCCCCAGGGGACAGGGACACCACGGGCAGCCCTAGGGACAAGGCCAGGGCTGTTACCTCCTCTCTGATGAGCGTGAGCACGGCTGCCTTCTCGGACTCGCTGAGGCAGATGCCAGCCAGGGGACTCTCGCTCCTGCCCACACTGGGGCACTTGTCCATGGAGCACAGCCCGGGATTGTCCTGGGGGAATGACCCAGCTGGGATGTTGGGGGCGTTCTTTTCACCCCCCATCCTGTTTTATCAGCATCTGCATTTCCCTTCCTGCACACACAGAGCCCAGAGCCTGCATCTGACAGCTGGCAAGAGCTGCCCCAGGGAGGCAATATCCCAAAAGGGAGACCCACTAAGGGCCCATTTCAGAAGGAAGAGACCCAGCTCCAAGCACAGATGTGCTCACACCCAACTTCCCTTATGGTTTTAACCCCATGGGGTTAAAAATACCTCCAGCCTAGAGGGTCTCTGCTGACCGTGAGCCACACGTGGGGGTGGTCTGCAAGGGTCTGGGTTGTCTGTCTCCAGCCCCTCCCAGTCAGCACTGCAGCTGACGTGCTCAAATTGCTGCTGGCAGCTGCAGGGACATTTCCTGAGCCTTGCTGCTCACCCAAATGCCCAAGGAAGCTGTGGGGGAAGCAGAGTTCACCCCTCTGCAGAGCAGGGGTCCAAGGAACAGCCCCGCTCACCCCTGGTGCTGCAGGTGTCCAGGAGAGCTCTGAAACAGGAGATGCTGACACAGAGATGCTGGTACCCCCCTGGTGCCATTCTGGGTGCCTCTGCAAGGCCTGGGGTGGTGGTACCCCCATTGTCCACTGCCTCCCTTGCCCAAAGCCCAGCTCCTGTGCTCTGCCTGTGCACAGTGCTGCAGCCACAGGGACAAACTGGGGGCAAGGCTCAGTGCTGGCACTGCCTGCCCCTCCTTTCACCACCCAGACGAGTGACAGCCGTGCAGCATCTCCCTGAGAAGGGGCTGCCATAAATAGAGAAGTGCTGGGAGGCAGGAGGCAGCCTGCTCCTCAGCGTTTGGAAACGAGAGCACTGGAGCGCTTCTCCCCTCCCCTCTCCTCCCCCTGGCACTTCAGCTGCTCAGCTGGAGCTCCCCCAAGCTCTCCACAGCTCTGCTGTGGCCATGGGCAGAGGTGGGAGCCACCCTGGGGCAGGTTTGGGGCCAGGCACCCCAGCACAGAGGAGGTTCAGCCCAGTGTGCTTTGGCTGAGCCTCCTGCACTCTCTCCCAGCAGCAGCTGCACACCTGAGCACCTGCAGGCACCTCTGGGGTGACAGCAGCCTGCCCAGGCTCTGCTGGGCACCAAAGGGAAGGCTCACTTTGCCCCACGTCCCTGTGGGGCTCAGCACAGTTAAATCTGTCTCACAGGGGTTGGTTTTGCTGATGTTGCTAAGCTCACTGTCATCTGCTTGTCAGCTCAAGCAGCTTTGGCCAGGGGCTGCTAGGCTGGCACGGGGTGCCCCCGCAGCAGGGAGGGTTTGGGGCTCCTCAGGGCATGTCAGGGCTGTGCCAGCACAGTGGGGCTGCTGCTGGGCTGCCAGGGTCAGCGTGGCTGCTTCTGCACCCTTCCCCACCTCTGCTGCCAGCTGCCTTCCTGAGGATGGCTGGGGACCCCTCGGAGAAGGCAGCAGCACCCAGGGGCCCTCAGAGCCAGCCCTGGACACTCCACGTGAGACACGAGCCGTGCTGGCAGCTCCTGTGCCCTCCCTGTCCTTCAGCCACCCTCCAGGGCAGCCCTGGCTCTGCCCTGCTCCTGCCTGTCCCCAGCATCCCTCCCTGCCTCCCTCCTTCCTTCCCTCCCTGCCTCCCCACGAGCCCACCCAGGAGGGATCAGGCTCTGCCAGGCTCCTCCAGGCCTGCTGGGAAATCTCTGCTATTTTTATCAAGTCCCTGCGTGGGCTTGTCAAGAATTTTACCTCCCAAAGAAACTCATTTCAGAAAGGAGAAAGCGAGAGGCACTCACAGGGAAGATGCCAGGCCCTCCCTTTTCCATCTGCTTGCAGATCTCCTTTTCAAAACCTGAAGACAATGAAACACAACCTTTAATTGATTTGGAAACAGCACCCTGGGCACACACAGATTTTCTGAGACACAGGAGGGTACCTCTGAGCCTCCCCATCCCCTGAGCTTCCCCTCCCAAAGGCGTCTTTGCCCCTGCTGGAATCATTTTGGTTGGAAAAGCTCTCTAAGACCATGGAGTCCCCAGCAGTGCCAAGGTCACCGTTAAACCCTGTCCCCAGGTGGCACAAGGTGCACCCTGCCAGCCTTGCAGCACTGCTGCAGTGCAAACCAACACTCCCCTCTGGTGGCAGCTCAGGCTGTGCCCGTGTCCCCAGGGCTGGGACCAAGGGGCTCAGGACATTCTGCACTCCAGCAGGGTGCTGGGGCAGAGCAGAGCACCAGCCCATGCCAGCCAGCCCCAACAGCCCCCGAAGGACCTGCCACACGGCCCCTGCTGCTCTTAACAGCACAGGAGATAAAAAACATCTCCCCATCTGCAAGGTGTGGGACACCCCGACCTAGGGGACACCCCGACCTAGGGGACACCCTGACCTGGGGGACACCCTGACCTGGGGGACACCCCGACCTGGGGGACACCCTGACCTGGGGGACACCCCGACCTAGGGGACACCCCGACTCACAGGAGGGACACCCCAACCTGGAGACACTCTGCTTCACAGGACACCCCAACCTGGGGACACTCTGCTTCACAGGACACCCTGCCTCACAAGAGGGATACCCTGACCTGGGGGACACCCCGACCTGGGGACATCCTGCCTCATAGGAGGGACACCCCAATCTGGGACTCTGTCTCACAGGAGGAACACCCCAATCTGGGACTCTGTTTCACAGGAGGGACACTCCGACCTAGGGGACACTGTTTCACAGGACACCCTGACCTGGGGGACAACGTGCCTCACAGGACACCCCAACCTGGGGACACTCTGCATCACAGGAGGGACACCCCAGCCTGGAGACACCCTGTCTCACAGGACACCCTGCCTCACAGGAGGGACACCCTGACCTAGGGGACACTCTGCCTCACAGGAGGGACACCCCAACCTAGGGGACACCCCGACCTGGGGACACCCTGCCTCACAGGACACCCAAATCACTCACACAACTGCAGGCACGATTCGTGTGCTGAGCAGGCAGAGAACAGCGTGTTTAGAGCTCAGCTTGGAGAGGAAGGGTCAGGTAACACTGCACACTTCCCACTGCTTCCCTCCACTTATCCCACAGCTCCCACCCCATCCCTGCACAGAGCAGCGAGCCCGTGCACCTGCCTGGCCCTCTGAGACCAGCAGCAATAAATAAACCCTCCAGCCTCTCCCCTGACTGTCAGATTTTCCTCCCCTGAGGACAAAGAACCATTCTCCATGGAGCTGGCAGGCAGCACAGCCATCGGGAGAAATGATTAATGGGTTCCTGCGGAGGAGAGGCTGCAACCCCTCCCCGTGGTGACTTCTCCTGCTTGCACCTAGGACTTGGCTATTGATTAAATGTCATGTTGCCTGGCTTTTAATTATTTTGTAATGGCTTGGTCAGAGAGGCTAATTACGTGGGAAACTGACGGCAGAATTCCACCAGGAGCAATAATTGGGTCTGTGTAGGCATTATTGAGATCTCCATCAGCCACAGCCCTGTGCCAAGCCCTGGCAGCTCTGCTCCAGACACAGGCTCTAAGCAGGGATCCTGCAGCCCAGGAGTCAGGGCAGGATGCTCTGAATGCTGGACAATTGCTCTGCTCAGCAGTGAGCACTGCTGGCAGGGAACCTCGTGCCTGAGCCACATCCCACTGCAGCACCGTGGGGAGAGTGCTCTGTACCCAAAGTCTAAATAAACACAGCCTGAACCATCGTTTTCCATCCTGGAAACAGTGCAGGAAAGCAGTGGGAGGTTGCATTAGAACCTGCAGCAGCCTTTAGCCCTGTCAGTGTAAATGAACTCAGATGAGGCTGCAGCACCAGTTCCTTGCCAGAGGCTGCAGAGGCTCCCTGGGTGCAGTCAGGGTGCATTCCCAGAGCTGAAGGCAAGCAGGATGCTCCTCACCTGCCTCTGCTCTGTGCTTCCCTGCAGACACGGGCACGTTGGAGCACTCAAAGTACTCCAGGTCATCTTCTGCCTCAGCCTTCTTCTCCAGCCCTGTTGGTTTCTGCGTGGAGGTGGTGGAGGCCAACTTCTCCTCATCAGTGGCACGTCCATCCCGGTTGGTAATATCTGGGATTTCTGAGATCAACACTCCTTCATCCTGCAGGACCAAAGCATGCAGTTAAGCAAGATCGGCGGGGATCAGGCCACCAGGTGAGCTGCTGGATACTGCAAAGAAAGCTTAAAATCCACAGGCGAGCTGCCTGCCCCCCCACCAGCCCTCCTCCCTCCCTCCCCATCAGGAACTGCCCACAGGGAAGATGCCAGCCTGAAGCTCAGCCTGCCCAGCTCTCCCCAGCACCCTGTGCCCAGCACCCTGTGCCCAGCCCGCAGCTCTGGGGTGAGACCCCACGTACCTGAGCGCTGATGTCCAGGACCAGGGGCTGCGCCTCGTGCTGCTTCACCTTGCAGCCGCTCCTGCAGGAGAGAGGAGCAGCAGCTGAGGGGGGTTCAGGGGCAGTGAGGGGGATGTGGGGTGCGTGCCAGACAGCCCAAGCAGGGGGAGGCAGTCCCAGCACCAGCGTTGCACCCACCGCGTGCCAGCACCCCACTCACCAGTGAACACCGAGGCAGAGCAGCTTCTGGGAGGAACAGAAGGGACAGGCAAACAAAAGACACGACTACACAGAAGTTGGGTTTGTCTGTGAGGTGTTTATTCCTGAGGAAGGTAAGGAGCAGAGAGAGCAAGGACCCCAAGAGGCTGATGGTGAGAGAGGCACTGCCAAGGCGCGGGCACTGAAGGATCTCCCTCGCCCTGCGTGTCCAGCACAACGGCGCCCAGGCTTCGGTGCATGTCAACTTTCTGCAGGAAGAACCACATCCAGGCTGTTTCATGCCCTGTCCCTGCAGCTGGAAGTTTTTCTGGGGCTTCTTCACAGCATCCACATCTCCCAGGTGAGTCAGGCCCGCTCGGCCAGGGCAAGGTGCTGTGCTCAAACAAACGCTCCGCCTGGCGCAAACGCTGCCCCTCGGGGGGAAGTTTAGCCCAAGGAGGTCTTGCAGGTGGTCTCCTTGCCCTCCAGTGAGGAGGCTGTCCCTAGAACTTCATCCCATGTTCCTGAAGACCCATCCAGAGGCCACCCGTGCAGGGCTGCAGGCACGGCCGCATCCCCCCGCACCGGGCATCAGCCCGGACACAGCAGCGGTGGCACAGCACGAGCTCTTCTCCTGCATCTCACCCCCTCACGCTCCACACTCAGGGACCTCCCAGGCTCCCGGCCACGTCTGACCCCCAGGAGACGCTTGCTGAGCTGGAACAGCTCGTGTGACAGCCACTGCGGGCACTGGGGAGGGATCCCAGCCTCCAGCCACGGCACTCCCCACGCAGCGACACAGGCAAGGGCTCGAGCAGGGCTGCAGCGAGCTGCTGCCAGCTTCAGGGAACTGCCCCCACCCTCTGGTGCTGTGCAGCCCCCCCAGCCCACCGCACACGAGCGCAGCAGAGCACGAGGAGCGGCACACGGGGGCTTCTCTGCGCGCTGCCATGCTCACACCGAAGGATCAGGACTGGTTCTCTCCAGCGTGCCCTGCCACGAGCAAGTCCAACTTGTCACGTCCTCACCCTCTTCTTTTCTGCACCCTCTCCTGTGCCAGGGTTTGGCAGATGGTTTGAGCTCCCCCCCCCCAGCAGCAGGATAACAGCTCTGGATTGCACCAACCCTGCTGCCCCTCCAGTTCTCTGCACGCTGCCATGCTCACACCGAAGGATCGGGACTGGTTCTCTCCCTCGTGCCCTGCCACGAGCAAGTCCAACTTGTCACGTCCTCACCCTCTTCTTTTCTGCACCCTCTCCTGTGCCAGGGTTTGGCAGATGGTTTGAGCTCCCCCCCCAGCAGCAGGATAACAGCTCTGGATTGCACCTCCATGAGCTGGAGGTTTGGAGCACTTGTCCACCATCAGAAGATGCTGCAGGGCGGCATGCTGCGAGGACAAGCACAGGCGTGTGCCTCCGGTGCAGCTCAGCCCAGCTCAGCCCAGCTCAGCCCAGCTCTTCTCCCTCACTCCCAGGCACTCACCAGGCCAGGCCACCCTGGGGACCCTGCCGAGGGCTGCGGGACACAAACCAGACAGCAGAGAGCACAAGTCAAAGGGCAGAAGGAGCCAGCATGCCATGGAGACGAGTGGGGCAGCACACACCCAGAGAGAGGATAAAAACAGCAAAGGAAAAGAAAAGGAATACAGGAGAGAGTACTTACAACAGAAAACAGAGAAATTTCACTTGCTCAGTAGTCCTGATGCACCAAAGCACGGACAGGGAGAGAGACAGACAGATGGAGAGAAGAAGAGTGTGTGAAAAGACCTGAAGAAGAGTGTGTGAAAAGACCTGGATGTTAACTCTGCTCTGAGAAGCACGGCGAGCTGCCTAGCTCAGTCTTTGGGAAGGCACACACACACACGGGACACTCTGAGCCTGCCTTTGCTGCCCACAGCAGCGGGGTGAGATCCAAACACAAACCTCGCTGCCAGGGCTATACCCTGCTGCCCGTGCTGCTCCAAGGTGACAGAGAGAGAGCAGAGAATTCCCTGCTGCTTCCCCTCCCCACTGGCTCTGCTCACTCACAGCCACACACCAGCTCTTACAAATTTTTTATCTACTCTGTAAAGTATTTCCTGGACAAAAACATCCAACACAGCCTGATTTTTGCCTGTGAGGTTTTCTCTTTCACTGTTAAAACCCACTATCTAATTTTCTCACTGGAGAATCCAACAGCAGAGCGAGAGACTGCCTGTCCAACCTGTTCTCTTTCTCTGACATAAAACAGAAACTCGGTGGCAGCTCACCAAGTGTCTCAGCTACATGTGACCAAGCACACCTGCATCCACCAGCTCCTGCACATCCCTAGCAAACACATCAGCTCCAGCCTCCCCTGTGGGTTTCCTCTGACACCACATCTACACCCTGACCCACCAGCTGGACCCCCAAGGGGTTTCCAAAGAGGTGATCCCACAAGCAGGTCCCAATCCAGCCTTCCCCTGGGACTCAGGACACTGGCACTGCTCCAGAACACTGCTCCCTCTCCTCCCACCAGCGCTACTGACAGGCACAGGAGGAGAAAACTGAGCCACCAGCAGAACCTGGGGTGCACAGCAGCATCTGGGGCTCGCTCGGGAGGCACCACCAGGGCAGGAGCACCATCACCACCATCACCACCACCAGGGCAGGAGCACCACCACCACCATCACCACCATCACCACCACCAGGGCAGGAGCACCATCACCACCATCACCACCATCACCAGAGCAGCTCTGCCTGCCCCTGGGGAGCACAGGGGGGCTGCAGCCCCAGCTCTGACACACTGGCACTCACGTTATCAGGCGTGACTTGGGCTTCTTGGGGGAGTCTCTGCCTTTCAGAGCATCGTCCTGCATCTCCAGTGTCTGAGATTCCAGGATTTCATTGAGGCTGTTATCTGCCGTGGAGCAGGAGTCAGCGTCGGCGCTGGCAAGCGTCTTGGTGGGCTTGAACGGATCCATGGAGTCAAAGTTATTGGGGTCAAACTGGTAAGAGCCCTTGGGGAGAACTGGAGAATTCTGCAGCGCTGAGCTGCCACTGAGAGAGCTGAGGCCAGGGCTGTCCCAGCCCGTGGGACCCAGCTGGCAGGAGCCCCGGGGTGGGGGTGGCTCTGTGGGACCACTCTCTGCATCCTCAGCTGCTTTCTTGGGGGACTCTCTGTGCCTCTTCGGTGTCAGCTTGCTGGCTGGGATCCTGCTGCCCCTCCTGGGTGAAGCTGGCTTGGCCTCCACGCTCTCTTTAGCCTCTGTACAATCAGCCCCAGGTTTTGGGACCTGCCCTGGGGCCTCCAGAGCCGGGTCCCCCCCCAGCTCACCGGGATGGGGAAGGCGTTGTGGGGCTGCTGGGGCAGAGCTCTGCAGCTGGCAGACCCCTGCCACAAAGGGGCTCACACTCCTGTCATGCTGCTCAGGCTCACGCTGGGTCTCCTCTGTGCCTTCATCTGCTTTCCTCCCCAGCGAAGGTGTTTTCCCCTTCCTGAGCTGCTCCTGGCCCAGGACATCAGCCCCCAGCTCCACCAGCCCTGTGCCAGGGTCCCCTCCTGGCATGGCCCGCTCCCAGGGGGCTGTGCCCACATGGGGCAGGGGGGCTGGCTCCCCAGCAGCGTGAGCAGGGTCAGCCTGGCAGCCCAGCCCGGCCAAGGGCTGCATCAGAGGTGAGCTGTCGGGGTCAGTTTCCCCTTTAGCATCCAAACTGGCTTTAGGGGCTCCAATCTCTGCTTGAGCCTCATCTTTGGAGTGCTTCCCAGGTGAGCTGTCCCAGTGGGGTTCCCCTACCAGCAGGTCACCATGGCCACGTGGCTCTGGAAAGATAAAAGGAGATGGTTAAACCCTGACCTGCAGTGCACTCCTCTCAGAAGGGCTTCCTGCTCCCTCCTCACAGCTGCTCCAGGGTTGGATTTTATGGGGGATCCACTGAGTCAGGTCTCAGCTTCCCTCCTGCCACACGACAGGGAGTCATTGCTCGCTTGGGCAGAGTTAAAAATCAGTGAGAAGAGCTCAGGGACGCACAGCACGAGACAACACCGCAAAATGTGAACCAGCAGGCCCCAGGGAGAAGGGGAATGGGAAGGTGTGCTCAGTGAAGGAGCAGAATCTGGCTGCAGGAGGGATCTGGGGGTCACCCAGAACTGGGGCTGCCCTGCTGGATGTGCACCAGGCAGGAGAAGCTGCCCCACAGGAGCTCCTCTCACCTGCAGAAATCCTGCTGTAGTCACAGCAGGCTCTCCACACTGCTGTCAGCATCTGCTAATGACAAATCCTGATCCATGGCTTAATCACCGTTACTCCAATCCTTTCCCCTCAATCCTTTTACTGTTTAATCTTTTCTTTGACATCAAGGGATGGAGAAGATCCTTTACCTACTGGGGCACCCTGAAAGCTGCACCCACCGTGCACCCAGAGCCAGGCTTGCGCTGCAGGTGTGCCAAGGCACGAGAGGAAAACATCAGGTGTTTCTCCTGCCCCTCAACCAGGCACAATGGCTCAGACTCCTGGGAGAAGGTGAGACAGGATGCTGGCATGCCCAGCACCCACCAGGGAGCAGGTGGAAGCTGCAGCCCTCACAGGCTCCTTTCTAGGGAGACACAGTCAGCCACGTCCTCCAAGGGCAGAGCAGAACCGGTACTCTCCCAAGGACCAAACTGGCTTGAAAACCTGTCTGCAAAGAGCAGCCTGGGTGATGAAGAGGAAATCTGCCTGTCCCTGCCCCAGCCCTGCCCTGGCAAAGAGGTGACAGCTGGAGTCACCTCGAGCATCCCCCCTGTTTGGCAGGGGGACCCCAACCAGCTGCCCCCACAGACCCCTGAGCACCCAGGAGAGGTTTTTCCTATCACCAGGCATTTGTAACTGGCTCCTGTGTGCTGGTAACAAAGCGAGCCACAGGCTGGCAGAGGAACAGGGAATCAGGCAAATATCTGGTCCCAGGACTAATCCAGGACGTGGAGCCAACAATCCTGACTCAGTTGATGGCTCGTGGTTAGCATAATTGATCCCCCAGGATGCAAAAAGCCATGAAAATGAATCATGAGGGTCTGTGTCCTCTCTGAGACTGCAAAAATGCTTCCTCTGACTGCAAAAAAAAAAGCTCCCTCCAAGTAGAAGTTGCCTTGATGCCCCAGAAAATGCATCAGTAAACACAAATCCAGTGGATGAGTACTTGGAGTGCAGCCAGGAAACAGTCTGAGGCAGAGCCTGGCAGGCCTTCCCATCATTAGGAACCAGGAAAACCTCCTTAACAGACCCCAAAGAAAACTTTATTACACTTGCTGTGCTGCTCAGCTGTTTGAAGCCTTCCTGAGACAGCCCTGAAAAGAAGAACAGACTTCAAAGCCAGGGCAAAAGGACTATTTAAGTGCATTTTGCGTTCCCAGCAGAAGGTTTGGCAGCCGCCGTTCTCACAGACATGAGCCCATCCTGGTTTCTAACCCAAGCAATGAGTAATTACTCCTTGAATAACAAGCAGCCAGCACACAAACTGCCTCTCCATGCCCTGGTGTCTGCAGGGTGGGGAGGAAAGGAGCGTGGTGCATGTGGCCGTAGCTTAGAATTGTTTTCCCACAAAAATCAGAAGAAGCACCCACCCAGGTTCTGCAGTTTTGTGATCCCCTGGTTTTCTGCAGCCAGGAGTGCTCAGCTCCTCAGCCCCTCCTGCAGCCAGTCTGAGAGCTAAGGAACTGGGATATACTGGGAGGCAGCAGGCTCAGGTGCTCTCTGATGGCTTTGGAAATCTTTTACAGCAGAAATGTCCCTCCTGCAAGCTCGGGGGGGTTTCCCCTAGTTCCTCCCCCTCTGCATTTCTTCTGCCTCAAACACAGGAGCTGGTTCCTGCAGGAACAATTACACAGGATGCAGAAAGCCTGAAGGGCGTTCCTTGGGGTGCACAGGGAGAGCCAGGCTATGAGCCCAGCCCTGGTGACACCTCAGAGCAGCCCTGGCTCCCCCCACGGAGCCCTCCCCAAGCCCTGCACACTGCCTGCAGCTCTCCCTGCTCCTCCTGAGCTCTCCCCCAGCCCCAGGCAGTCACGTTGTGAGCAGCCGTGCTGGCTCCGCACGTACTCCCTTCTCTCGTGCCTCCTGCCAGGGAAACCAGCTTGTCCCCCACTCCTGCAGCTGTCCCCCAGCCCTGTCACTGCTCAAATCCTCCTTCTGGGCCAAATCTGTGCTGAACAGCCCAGGAGAAGGTGGGCTGGCAGCCACGGAGAACACGCAGCTCTGCCTCTTGGATCAGCCAGGCATCCCAGCAGATGCCTTACTGCAGCATCCTGGAAAGATGACCCTGAGGTGTCCCTGAGGTGACCCTGAGGTGTCCTGTTCCACCCCTGGCACTGCACCCTGCAGCAGGGGACAGCTCAGTCCCAGCAGGAACATGGACACTGTCAGAGCATGGCACACACAGCGACCCCAGGGTCTGTCCCAAACACACGCCCAGCACAGGGCACGTTGGATCTCACCCACACCCGCTGTCCTGGCTGTGCTCAGGCTGCAAACCTGCTCCACATCCAGCTGAGTACCTGCAGGGGATGCTACAAAGCGAAAACAGTGATTTTTTTTTTTTTACTTTCTAAAAGAAAAGCAAGCAGGACAGTCTGGCACCGCAGTAATAGACACGTTGTGCCTCTGCATTATAATTGCTTTGCTCGTCTTCCTCGGGCTGAAATTAAACACAAATACTGACTTAAAACAGCTTTCCAACGTGCCATCCCTCCAACGAACCAGGAGCACTTGGCAGTGCTGCCAGGCAAAGGCTCAGAGCCCTTTCCATCCCTTTCCATCCCACAGGCAGCGATCCCTGTGCCAGAACAGCCCCTCTGGACTCAGCTCAGGGCTGTGAGTCACACACTTCCCTGCCTCAGCACAGGATATCTGCCCCACACACCCAGCTCAGCCCTAGATCACCAACCACCGCTTTCCGTTTGTGTCTAACAGCCCTTGATCTATTTTTAAATCTATTCTGTTAAGAATTAGCATACCGGCAGAGGGAGGGAGGATGCTGCTAACGCACCGGAAAACACGTGCCCTGCATCAGGGCAACGGCAGCTCCCAGCACTGCTGGCTCTACGTTTGCTGCTTCTGCTCATTTCCTTGTGCAAAATATCTGCTGCAGGTAACTCGAGCAAGAATGGGATGGAAATAGTCCCACCATCCAAGACCACAAATTGAGTGATCCTCAGTGGGCACAAACCCTCACTGTAGCCCCCTCCAGGGCTGAATTTTTGTCCCCAAGGACAGGGTTTAACACAGCAGGTCACCTCTTGGCTGTGCATGGAGCAGCCAGCCCTGGAGTCACAGCTTCTGCCATTCCTCACCCTATTTATTCCCAGGGCAGGGTGAGACTGCAGCTACACAGCAGACAGTGCTGGCTCCTGGCTGTCCCTCAAGGCCAGGGGTGCTGTGCCTGCCCTGGCACTGTCCCCACAGAGCCCAGCAGGGCCAGCAGCTGCTCCCCAGGCACTGCAGGGAGCAGGGAGCAGCTCCCTGTGCTGACAAGCAGCCACGACACAAGATTGCCTCTGTGCCACTGCTGCTCCCGAGCTGCAGCTGGCCCCAAGGGCTGGGACTGCTGTGCAGCAGCAGAATGCAAAGATGAGGCCTTAACACACGGATTGCACTGGTGCTGTGACAGCCCAGGGTGCCTCTGCATGCTGCAAACCCACCCACACCCGGGCAAATCCTTTCTCTCCACCATTCCTGACGAACTGAACAGACACAGCCAGGGACAGGGGAAGGGAAGGGCTGGAGCCAAGTGTGGTGGCACCACAGTTTGGCTCTGCCCGCTCTGACATCCCACTCTCTGCCAGCCAGCACAGAAAAACAGCTTTTGCTGGAGATCATGCCCCTGTCTCCAGAACACTGGGAGCTTTGTGTGCAGGAGCAGATACTCCCTCGCTGCTGAGCAGGAGATGCTCATCCCAGGACAAGGGGAACAGTGACACCCCAGAGTCTGAAGCAATGTGCTTCCCTAGGCTGTGCCAGAAATGATCCTCCTACCTGCTAGGAAAGCCTTTATCTCTCCCCCCTCTTCCCAGGCATTATCCCCAAAGTAAAGATGTTTCTATCATCCCTTCTTAAAAGGATTATTCCAAGAGCTGTGATTATTGGAAGCACGAACAGAGCACTCCCTCCATCACAGCAGACAAACAGGAGTTTTCCACAGCGATGGACGAGCACCCAGATCCACCCCAAAGCAGAGCAACACCACAGGAGATGGAGAGCCACAGCATCCTGTGCCTGGGCTTCTGCACAGAAGGTCTGGACTGAGCCCACTGCTCTGAAACCAGCCCCACAAAAAGTTCTCAGCCACTGCTGCACTGAAGGAAAGCACAACATTGCACATCAGTACCAGGGTCTGCAGCATGAGGGGCAGGAGAGGGCAGGGAATGCTCAGGACAGCCTGTCCATGACTGCCTGACCCACCACAAACTGCCCTGTGCCTTGGAGAGGCTGCTCTCGTGCACAGCACCCCGGGGCTCACAGACACCCTGGCACTGCCCAGCCACTGAGAGCACGTGGAAGGGGAGATCTCCTCCCTGCCCTGCCCTGATAACCCCTGTGGGCTGTTGCAGCAGTGCCAGAGCTTCAAGGCTTCCTCCCAGCAGCACAAAAACAGAGATAAACACCAAGATCAGCCATGGACACCAGCACAAACTCCTGAAGAGGAGGAAATGGAGACAGTGGGGAGCTGGAGCTCAGAAGGCCATGGGCTAATGGGGAGTCACACTCAGGGGAGCAGCAGCAGTGTGGGATACAGGGATAAACCTGCAAAAGAGCTCAGGACCCACCAGCAAAGGAAACCCCACACAGT